AGAGGAGGTGGAGGAGCTGCCAAGATCGAATTTTTAGCCGTTTCCCAGAAAACGGCCCCCTTTTCCGCGGCACGACATGGCATGGCATGGCATAGTGGTATCATGTCGTATCCCTCCAAGGTCTGCTGGTCATCCGACGCTGCCAGACCTCGTACCGCTCCGTATTACCTCCCCTTTGCGGCCGAGATCTGCCAGCGTACCGGCACCGAGCGCTCCAGAAGCCACTTGAGTCTTTCATATACCAGTAGGTAGTGCTAGTACTACCGGCAGTAGTACCAGTCCCCATCGTCTATCAAAGAGTTACTAGTTACAGTATATTCCCACTCTTCGCGATGGACCACCCTGGAAAGACCCTGCGTCTTTTTTTTCTCGTTTCTGCTTCTCTGTGGAGATGGACCGAAGCATCAAAGAGGGCCTCATCCAGTAAACCCTTGACGCCAAGTTAGTTGCCGGCTGGGGTGACCCGAAGGAGCTTTATCAGACCGTTGGTGGATTGAGAAGAAGAGGAAAGGCAGGCCAACAAAGTAATGGATCGCCTCCAAAAACGAGGCAAGGCAGCCTCCCGAAGATCTTGCTAGGTTGCAATGAGCACGATATGGCTGTTTTCCTTCATTGCTAGCCGCCCCGTTTCGTTCTGGTTTGTTCGGATTTGGACTGGATGGCGATATCACAACCCTAAACCAGACATTCCCACTCGGCTCATGGCGCCAAATCTCAAGGCGCTACCTCGATGGCGCGCACCTCTTAGGAGCGTGATCTTACTCGTATAGCGCCCTGCCACTGCATCAGCGTGGAACGGAGATCACAAATCTTGTCAAGACGATTCTAGGCGCGCCTACGGCCCGCCTGGCCAGCGTTCGTACCTACTACCACCATCCTGTGCTCCCGAGTCAGTGCTTTACAGCCTCTCAGCCGCCCTATGTGCCGGCATTTTATTGTACTCTTGTAGTTTCGTAAGAGCCCAAGATGAGTCCTCCTCTGTAAGATCCATCTCCGTTATTAGAACGGAGTAACCTGTTTTTCTGGAGAATCATGCCAAGGCACAGATCGTGAATCTACCCATCATTGAATCTCTGTTTGCTGATGTCTCCCAGTGAGATTATAAGGATCTAGTTTTGCTCTGGTGCCGGTACTTGAAGGCATATTAGCAGCAGGGCATTTTATGAGCTAGGAGCTTATGACGGCTCCTTGCGGCTCGTCATGACGGTCCATGGTCTAGTTGGAGTACATTGTGATGTCCAGATCTGGAGAGCTCCTTTATCTGCATACGCCATGCTCGTGCAATCATTCACCAACAGGCAGACGGGCGGGAGGGCAAGAGACGAGGCTTTCAGGATCAGAACAAGGCTTTCAGGGTCCATAGCCCTCCAAGCACTGGCTATTCTAGAGCAATCCACTTCCGGCTCCGTTGATAGGATAGTGCTTTCGTACTGGCGCTATCGTGTATTGTGGCGAACGTTTAAGAAAAAAAAGCAGCCGGTATGGGGCCCCATCTTGGACCCATACCAGCTCCCTCATCTCAACCCCATGGGCAAATTTTTCTACCCAAGGAGAGCGAAATGAAAGTAGTAAATTGACTTTGAGACGGGGCATTGCGAGTCATCTCACTGTGCAGCAGGCTTGCTGGCGCGAGGACTCGGAGTCTCCTTTGCCTTGGCCGCCAAGTGGCCTCGTATTTGACAGGGAGAAAGGCCTTGGCGTGCTCCTATCCCAGCACATCGGAATAATAAGAGCGTCCATCAATGGGTCGTTTTTTTTTTGGTGGTCCCCGCTCCTGCACATCACCGTATTGCTCAGAGGCAACAATGGATTCACCACCGGCGCGCATCGTCGCCGTGCTGGTATATAAGTAGTTGTCGTATTCGAATGACGATCGCTATGGGCGCATAAATAGTTGCTGGCGCCCTTCAACGCACGAGTCCATGGCACGCAATTTGCTCTGGATATACTTGATAGTTGCAATAGTAACTACACGGGTGGATTCCGCGAGCATGGAAAGGAGGGAAAAAACAGGGCTCGTTGCAAGTGAGTGCATTAGACCGGTGCTCATGTCGCCTTTTTTGCAGTTTGGATGCTAGCAATAGGGCTCTAATCCAGGCCTGGCTTGGTGCCGGGCAGCGCGCCAACTGTAACGCCGCTTGCACGGGCAGGGCCAGGCCGTAATGCAACCTGCAGCTCTAAATAGAGACCGGATGCAGGCCCGCCAACACCTCACCGTGCAGCTTCATCTATTGCCTCGACATTACGAGTGGCAGTTGTACTCCATCGCTGCAGTTCCCGTATATGCCAGAGTCTGAGAGGCCACAATGGCTGAATGGCAAGACTTTGCGCCCGAATCCTCAGCGCAGCGATCATGGGCCCTGAGAAATAGGACCATGTCGATCCGCATTTGTGATGTCGTGGCTGTGGATGCACGCCAGGGCGGTAGATAAACCTTCAACCTCGACTTTCAACTGCGCACCGTGGCCGTGAAAAAACACTGCGTTAAGGTTTCGAAACGTCACATGGAAATACTGGGGCCATTGAATGTTTTCGATTGCTCCCATTATAGCGCGGTGAGACTAGCGTTCTGGTTGTGAGATCTGGTGACCCGGCAATTTTCTCATCGCACTTTGGCTGTGGCCGTCCTTGCCCTGGGGCACGGGCAACGATGGAGAATACACGGCCATAGTGCCTTCGTATTGATAGTCTTATCAAGCTTTGTGATGATGTCGGCTTATCCCCTGTATATCATATGGATGCCAACCAAGCATGGAATCATTAGTAATTGTTGTCGTTTTTTTTGTTTCTTGTAAGACGTAGTACAGTCTAAATGTCGAGCACAATATTGATCAGTTGGTGTAGGCATGCAACGTGTCTGTTGGCGGTGAGCTGCAAACGCACCTGCCGAATGGGTGCGTGAGAAAAGGAAGGCGAGAGCGCGGTATCAATAGCGCTCTGCAAGGCACCGGGGAGAGGAAAGATATGGAGGAGAATCAGGGAAGCAGCACTGCTTATGCTCTGTTACCTGTAGCAAAATGCTGCATGTGCTCTTAAACTTTCAATGTTACTTACTACCTAGGTACTTCCTGCTAGTATTTGTGATTTGGTGTACTTGGGTTAGCTTGGCAGGCACAGCGTGGTGGCAGCTCGTGTAACAGCGGGCGTGGCGTAACTCAAATCCGTGGCGCACAGCCAAGATTGCGATTAATCGGAATTGTTCAAAAATGCCCACGTACTACAAGTACCGCAGCCAAATCATAAAAACATCGCGGAGTTATTGTTGCGAGAGCAAGCAGCGTTTATATCCAAGGTTCCAGGGTAGGTAGGTAGCTCAGTAGTCGGCCTTGATGCTCGGTACATTATACCCCTGCGCCGCCAAAACTGCTGATCGACCGAACGATGAGGCGAGCGAGACGGACTAAAATTTTGCACACGCCGCCCGAGAGCACTGCAAAATTCCCGTAGAACTTGGCGCAACTCCTCAAGTGAAATGTATTTGTCGTCTTTCGGTAGACGATGCTGTCGCTCACATCTTCCTACATCCATGATGCGCGGCATACCGAAGCACTTGCATCCATGCAAGTCAGTTGTTCAACCGTTGGAAGCTGAGAGCTGGAAGGGAAAAAAAAGGGCAGCCAATGAGAGACGCTCTCCTTTCTCCGCAGGGACAGAATAACATGAGAGCAAGAGAGTGGCGACATCCAGGAACCAAGCAAGCAAGACTGGTCCGACTAGGCAGGTACCCAGCATAAGCCCTGTACCTCCTGTTTCCCCAAGCTGCAGGGCCTCAGGCAGGTACCCCCAGGCGATGGGAAACCTGCGGAGGCGGCCGTAAGATGTACCCATCCCATCGTATCAATCAGAGCTAATCCAAATAATCTGGCTAGGCTGCTGTTAGCACCGCCCAAAGTGCTTCCCCCCGCGCCTTTGCATTTGGGGCTGGCCGGCGCCAGGAATAGCAGGCACAGGCACCGAGGGCGCTTTTTCCTCCTCGTGGCCGCCTCGCTGGCTGCACGAACTCTTCTCCCCCTAACCGCACCAGATCTCTCTGTGAGCGCTGGGGACACAGGATCTCCTTGACGCAGCGCTCGTTCGTCTCTCGTTCAGACCGTTTGGTCTCCTACCTTCGTTTTCGCTGCGGCGTGTCCTTTTCTCCCGCCAGTCGCCTTGTCTCGGACCAGCGACACCGCGACGCAAATCGCCTCGATTGTCGAGACGACCGCGCCAGTTCCATCGCGAGGACGCCTCCAGTTTTCTCTCTATCCGAAACGGCACTGCCGGGTCGAGTCGCTCGCTGAATCTCGCTTGCCTCTCTGCAGAGCGCCTCTCTTCTGTGCACCATCCGTCGTTTGCATCTTCTGCCTCTGGCCATCTTTTCATCTCCCCTCAGTCGGACTATCGCTTAAAAAGAATTCCCTGAACGGCCCTCGACGGTCGATTCAAGCTCGTTGGAGAGTGGACCGCTGTGGGAGCTGGACTTAGCACTGCTTGGGCACTACGGAGCACTGCTTGGACCGCTAAGACGCCTGGCTTTGTGTGGCTGTAGCTATTTTCCCGTGCTCCACTAGCGCCGCCTAGCGCTCTTCTGTTTTTGGCAGGCTGGACGTCGCTCGTCTCCCAAACAACCCGCCCCTCGGTCAAAATACGCCAATTGGCTGGCCGCAGCGCATTGCGCATTGTTTGTTTGCTTGCTGCGCTGACAGCCTCCCATCAGGTGAGTCCTTGTTTTTGTTTCTGCCCACCACCTTGTTTTCTTTTCTTCCCCAGACTGCCCTGCCGACTATTGCGACCGACAGAGCGAAGGTAGATAGCGGCGCATCTCATTGAGCAACCATCTTCTCCTCTGTCTGTTCCCTGGTTGTTCCCTGGTTGTTCCCTGATATTCGCCCGCCGAATCATCATCGTCTGCGGCGCAAGGGCGGGCCTTTACTTGTCTGTCCCTTTGGAATGTTGCATCCATAGACCACCCTGCCGCAGCAACAAGGCCCTTGGTTACTGACATTTGCAGTATAAGAGCCATGTCTCTACCTGAGCGGCCTGGGGCTACTAGCCCCAACTATAATCGCCGAGCCAGCTATCGAAACCCGCCGGCATCGCGACGCGCGCGACCCTCGGACATCGAAGCTGGCGTATACGAGACGTCTTCCATTTCGGGACATCATCGTGGGAAATCCGTCTCCTCATATGCAGAGACAATTTCGAACTCTAATGTGAATACAGAGAGCATGCCTCTGTCGCCCACCGAGCCCTCGTCCGGGAGGACTCCTGATCCTGCCTTCACGCGCAAGAGGAGCCTCATCAGACCGGAGAGGAACCGCATCGACAAAGAGCACAGGAACTACCACTACCACCGCCATGCCGCCAACATGAACGTCTTGCCGTCTTCCACGGGAAATGACCCTTTGCTGGAAAATCTGGCGGCATCAACAGAGCGATCTGCCAACACTGAAAGCGTTTCCGACGAGACTCCTCGCCCTTCCCGGAGCCGAACGGCTAGCGGAGACCACGAGAAGAGTGGTGTCAAGGTCAAAACCTCGCAGCGCAAGTCATCGGGCAAAATCACAAAAGAAAACAGCAAGCGATCTTCGAAACGCAAGTCCAAGCCTGTGGAGGACCAAGTCCGACCGCCAAGCTTCTGGAACGTCTACTGCGCGATTGTGACTTTCTGGTGCCCCGATTTCATCCTTGGGTGCTGCAAACCAACCAGAGCTCAGCGCCGAGCATGGAGAGAAAAGATGGGCTTGATCAGCATCATCTTGGCAATCATGGCCATAGTTGGTTTCGTTACGTTCGGATTTACTGCTGCCGTTTGCGGCTCGCCTCCAGTTCGACTGCGTGTCAATGAAGTCTCTGGAGGGTACATGATTTTCCACGGAGTGGCCTACGACTTGTCCAACTCTCACCATCCTGCTGCAGAGGGTATTCCGTTGGAACAGAATGGTCTTGGTGCTAATGTCTTGTTTGACCTTCCCGAGAAGCACTCTGGAGACGATGGCAGCTTTCTCTTCCAAAACGTCAATGGTAACTGCAAGGGCCTCATCACTCGTGCTGAAGGCTCTGATGTCCCTACCGACGATTCTGGCAACCTGGCTTGGTATTTTCCATGCACAACTTTCAAGCAAGATGGGTCTTCTACCCCCAACTTGACCATCCCGTACTACCTTGGATATGCGTGCCATACCTCGGTCAATGCCCGAGACGCATTCTATCTCGATCTTCACGGCACGGCGGATGTATACTTCACATGGGATGATATCAAGAACAGCTCTCGCAACCTCATCTCTTATTCTGGTAGCGTCTTGGACCTTAATCTTCTCAACTGGTTCAATGAGAGCCAGGTCCAGATCCCTGATCGTTTCAAGGAGCTCCGAGACACATCTTCCGATGTCAACAAGGCTATTCGTGGTCGCGATGTGACACGCATGTTCCAGTCTTCGTCTGACAAGAAGAACATGCAGTGCTTCGAAGATATTATCAAGGTTGGCTCCATCGATACCGAGACTGTCGGCTGCATCGCTTCCAAGGTTGTGCTCTACTGCGCCCTGGTTTTGATTCTCTCTGTCGTCGGAGCAAGATTCGCTCTGGCCCTCATTTTCCAATGGTTCATCAGCCGCAACTATGCTGCCGCCAAGACATCTCAGAGCTCTGACCGAAGAAAGCGTAATCGCCAGATTGAAGATTGGTCTGAGGATATTTATCGTGCTCCTGTTCGACTTCCCGGCGATGGCAGCACGGTTGTCACCTCGGATAGAAGCAAGCGAGCATCCTCTTTCCTACCCACCACGTCACGATTTTCTGGTGTCTCTGGACCGGATCGAAGCTCTTCATCTCGTCGAGTTCCCACCACAATGGCTAGCCAAGGTGGCTCTAGTTCTCTGTACCCTCCTGCTCCCATGTATAAGCAGGGCAACGACAGCCGTGTGAGCTTCCTTCGTTCAGACCCATACGGCCCGGGCACCATCTCTGAAGGCCCCGGACCAGCTGGCTTTATCCATGACGCCGTTGTCCCCCAGCCTCCCGCTGACTGGATGCCCTTTGGATTTCCTCTTGCGCACACCATGCTCCTGGTTACAGCCTACTCTGAGGGAGCGGAAGGCATTCGAACTACTTTGGACTCCATCGCCACTACAGATTACCCCAACAGCCACAAAGTCATCGTTGTTATTTGTGATGGCATCATTACAGGCGCGGGTGAGACTGTATCAACTCCGGATGTCTGTGTAAGCATGATGAAAGATTTCTCTATTCCCGCCGAACTGGTAAAGCCGTATTCCTATGTTGCTGTAGCAAGTGGATCTAAACGACACAACATGGCCAAGGTATACTGCGGATTCTACGACTATGGGTCTTCGTCTCGAATTCCAGCGGATAAACAACAGCGGGTGCCCATGATTACAATTGTCAAGTGTGGCACTCCTGCAGAGGAAAAGGGATCCAAGCCTGGCAACCGAGGCAAGCGTGACAGTCAGATCATTCTCATGTCATTCCTACAAAAAGTCATGTTTGACGAGCGAATGACGGAGCTTGAATATGAGATGTTTAATGGATTATGGAAAGTCACCGGCATCTCTCCGGACTACTATGAAATTCTGCTCATGGTAGACGCCGATACAAAGGTTTTCCCTGACAGTCTTACTCACATGGTTTCCGCTATGGTCAAGGATCCGGATATCATGGGTCTTTGTGGCGAGACCAAGATTGCCAACAAACGAGCCAGCTGGGTGTCTGCCATTCAAGTGTTCGAGTACTTTGTCTCTCATCATCTCGCCAAGTCCTTTGAATCTGTCTTTGGTGGTGTTACCTGTCTGCCTGGCTGTTTCTGCATGTATCGTATCAAGGCGCCAAAGGGAGGGCAAAACTATTGGGTTCCAATTTTGGCCAACCCTGACATTGTGGAGCACTATTCGGAAAATGTGGTCGAGACCCTTCACGAGAAGAACTTGTACCTCCTCGGTGAGGATCGTTATCTGACTACACTCATGCTGCGGACTTTCCCCAAGCGAAAGCAGGTCTTTGTTCCCCAAGCTGTTTGCAAGACTACGGTTCCAGAAGAATTCATGGTTCTATTGTCACAGCGGCGTCGCTGGATTAACTCCACCGTTCATAACCTTATGGAGCTGGTTCTAGTCCGCGATCTCTGTGGCACCTTTTGTTTCAGTATGCAGTTTGTTGTCTCTGTCGAACTCATTGGTACTCTTGTGCTTCCAGCAGCCATCGCCTTTACCTTTTATGTCGGTAAGTATTACTTGGAAATTTGTGGAAGTATCAATATCACTTTTCGACGTTTGCTGACTTGGTGCTTTTCTGTTGTTAGTTATTACATCCATCATTCAACGCCCCCCGCAGATTATACCGTTGGTGCTCCTGGGTCTCATCCTTGGTCTTCCTGGTGTTCTCGTCATCGTCACCGCACACTCTTGGTCCTACATCGTTTGGATGCTCATCTACCTCCTGTCTCTCCCCGTTTGGAACTTTATCCTCCCGGTCTATGCCTTCTGGAAGTTTGACGACTTCTCGTGGGGTGAAACTCGCAAAACTGATGGTGATAAGAAGGGCGGCGGCCACGGAGAGAGCAAAGGAGAATTTGACAGCAGCAAGATTACGATGAAGCGATGGGCTGAGTTTGAGCGAGACAAGCGTGCGAAGAGCGCCTACTGGGGATCGAGGGAGAACGTCGTCAGTGGTGGTACCAATAGCTGGGCGATGCCTCCTCCTGGTCACCACAGCGAAGAGTACTTTTCCGACGCGTAATCCGAAGCACTTACGGGCATAATGATGATGCTGATTAATAATATCGTGTCTTTTTTTTTCCTAATATTTTTTTGAATAACGAAATACATATGGGTAATGTCCGCATATTTTACAAAAGGCTCGCACACACATTTTACTTGCGCATATGCTTCGGAGAAAATCTTATTTGCCGTTGTATCTATCCTTTTGCCCAAGTTGAACTGGGATGTTCTTTCATATTCATGTCTTTGCTCTTCATGGGTGAGAAGGAGATGTTTGATGGCTTTTAATGACTGCAATTGCTATTTAGAGAAGATTATGTGACACAGAAGAGGTAAAGAGGAGGTAAAGAGGAGGTAAAGAGGAGGAGCAGCAAGAGAGCATTTTTTTGGGGAGGAAATGAGCGTCAGATTTTTTGTAATAGGCGGGCGATTGATCATTCATTTGAGCGTTGACTTGACTGAATGAGATGATTGGTTGATGAACTTTGTTGTACATAATTATATTATTGTTATTGATGTCGTCTGGCTGGAGCTCTGCGCGAATATTGTTATGTATGAGGCCTACAATCTTTGATCTTGTTACTCTTTACTGCTACTGCTTCCTTACCAATGCTCTTTAGAGTGTTGATTAAGCATGCGTGTATTGTTGATTATGATATATTGCAATTGATTCTTCTTGAAGAGAACACCAAAAAATACCTATATAACAGCAGCGCAATATTCAACATGTTCCGTTTCCCTCTCCCTACTTCTCTCCCCTTTTTTCTTTTCGCCTCCCCCTTTATCTGTTTTTGTTTCCCCTTTTTTCTGTTCTTGTTTCGCCTAACCCAAAACTGGGTTCCGTCATTTCAATCATTCGTCAATCACACGATTAGTATCTGCATGTAAACTAATATGTGCAACATGGGTATTGCATCCATTTGGAAAAAAGAAAAAAAGAAGTAAAAAAGAAAGGCAAAGTTTATAACGGCTCTCCTCAAAAACAAGGAGAGAAAAAAAAAATCGACATGAGCTCTGCTTCTTTCACTCCACCAACGCCGGCCTGCATGACCAATATTAGAATCCTCAATAACCTCAAGTCCGTCATTGCCGTTTTAACGCCGGCTTATCATCCTGGCCCCCTGAGAAAATGCATAGTAAATGAAATATTAGAGAGAGAGAGTAGAGAAACGAGAAGACCATGATCTCGTGTATCCTCAGTTTCAGACATCTACGAGGGTCACCGTTCGTGGTAGATTCATTTCTTTGAATTCTCCACCTCTTCGCCCAGTTCCCAAGGTTTAGTTGGATCGACAAATGTTGAGATGCGTTGGTCTCCCCATCGAGCGCCGATGGTTACCCAAACATGCTTCTGGGGAGCAGTTGCGTGGACCGTCTCTCGGTATCCGGTCCATCTCAAACGAGATTCCCTCCCCATGGAGCTGTTGCCGAGACCGTCGTTGGCCACCCACTCTTTGACAACGTTTTTGATGAATTCAACCTTTCGGCGGAAGTCGTTTGCCACAGGGATACCTTGAATCTCTGGGTCGATATCTGGTCGCCTCCTCGCTGCGGTGGTGGTTGTTCGTGCTGATGATCTGGCCTGGAAGTTGAGCAGCGTTTGCAGGGGATACGAGAGCGTAGCACGGTCATCTAAAGCGGTGGCGCCAATGGAACCGGTGTTTGCGAGTCGCTCTGCTGCTTCTTGAGGAAGATGCCAGAAGTGGCACCAAGTTCCAGTCGCATCTAGAACGATTTTGGTGTGATCTGGGAAATTGAACTACACAAAAATATGTTAGTATATCGAAGAGGCCATGTGGATTCCCGCAAAGTTCCTTACCTGAAGGTGCCCGTCGCCGAATACCCAACAGCCAACATCTCCAAATCGCTGGTAAAAGGTCACCAACTCTGCCGGCGTGCCCTTTTCTCCTGGGGACATGGTGGTGTCCTCTTCTTCCTCTTCGGCCACATCGTCTCGGCCATATGCAATCATGTAATTAGCAAATTTCTTCCACAGGATGATCCTTTCTCGCTTTCGGTGTTGGAAGATGTCCTTGCCGGGATTCATTTTCCCAGCTGTCCCGTCGTCGTTCACCGAGACTCGGAATTGATCAGGAGAGACCATGACTTGCGAAAGGCCAGCCTCGCCATTGTTCTCGAAAAATTTGATTGGCTCAGTCATTGGTACTGGTTGGTGCCGATCTGGGTAAGATTCGTCTTGCCTTTTGAGGATATGCTTCTCGGCATTACGAATGAAAATGCCCGCAGGGGGCAGCAAAGCGGTTTTACTGCCTTCGGTGGTGGGGATATCACGTAAAATGCATCCTACGCTACCGTCGTTCAAGATATAACCAAGGCCAAATTTGTTTGTGTAGTCAACCCACTTGACTACGATGTGAGGATGGGGCGGCGCCGCCGTTTTAGAAGAGATGATGGCCATGGTACGGGAATTGAGAGCTCGCTCGAGTTCGATTTGAAGTTGGCTCAATCGGTCGAGAATGTCGTCGGGCTTCGTCTCTCGCATTACTCTAGGTGTTTCAGAGGGGCTAAACAAGGTGGCCGCGCGAACAGATTCTGAGCCTCGTCTCTTAGGAACCGGCAAAGTCGCGGATGAGATTGTCGCTGCTCTCTCTGCAATTTGCGCATTAGGCACAGATCGAGCGGCTAGCGGTTGGGTCCTTGTTGAGACGCGCATGCTTCGGGTGGTGGTGGTGGTGGTGGTGGCAGGTTCGAGAGCCTCTCTCGAGGAAGATGAGGAGGAGGAGGTCGCCTCGCGAGTGAGTGTATATTGACGATCAGGGCGGGGTCGAATTTTCGTGCTTTGCGAAATCGACATGGTAGCCGACAGCGTAGGTTCTGGGGCAGGTCGAGGCCTCGAAGTGGTGGAAATAGTAGGTCGACCCTGGGATCGTTGCTGAGCTGCAAAGCTCTGGGGGGGCTGGCGCAGAAGGCCGGAGGCAGATATCTTTTGCGAGCCAGTCGAGGCATCTTCCTGTCCCTCCGCTGAGGCTGAGCGCGCAGAAGCAGACGCTGCGTATTTTGCACGAATCTGGTGCTGCTCCCTTAGCCAGTCATCAAATGGCCGATAGACTACATTATCCGCCAGAGGGATGATTGGAGTCAGGCCTGCCTTTTCCTCAGCTGCCATCTCTTTCCAGATCTGCGTGTGCGAAGCTTTGTCTCCGCTCCAAGGCCCGACGATACATTCTCGACATAGCTCTTTAAGGTGACGGTGTGATCGCACTTGCAACGAGGTGCTCAAATTCGAGGCATAGTATTCTTCCGCATCGGGGGGCACTTCTCGTAGCTTTGAGGTGATCTCGCCGGAGGCAGGCATGTAGCCTGCAGAGAAGAAGGGATGCTGGACGATTTCATCGGGATCTGGTCGCTGATCAGCATCCTCGAGCATCGTGGCCACCAGGTCCTTAGCCTCCTGGCTAATATATTTCTGGGACACCTCGGCGCTTGGCCATTCGTAATCTCGCTCCCTGGCTCGGCGGTAAATCTCGTCCGTCGTCGATGATTGGAAAGGCGGCTTCGAAGTAAACATGGCAAACCTATTAGCCCCCCCTTTCTGTTAGCCTTGTGTGTTATTCTACTAGAGTTAGTTTCAGCTGATGCTCACATTATAATGCCCAAGCTCCAGATATCAACCATGTGGTCATGGCCCTTCTTCCCCTTCTCAAGAATCTCAGGAGCAATATAGTTTGGCGTGCCACACAGCGTCGTCCGTCGAATGGTTTGCATGTCCCTACCAGTCACCACCAACGCAGCAAGGCCGAAGTCGCCAATCTTGGCATTCATCTGGTGATCCAGAAAGATGTTGCCCATTTTCAGATCTCGGTGAATAATACCCTTGCTGTGCATGTATTTGATGGCGCCGGAGATCTGGACGGAGTAGAATCGGACTTCGGGTTCGGTGAGGCCCTTTCGACGCTTCACCATGTCCATAAGAGAGCCATTGGGACATAGCTCGAGGACAAGAAAAGTGCAGTTGACGTATGAGAAGGCTCGTAGAAACTGGACAATATTTCTGTGGCGCATTTTCGAGTGGATTTGTAATTCGGTTTGGAACTGCGACTATGTGAGCAGACTTACAAAAAAAAAAAAAAATGAATGTGAAAGATGCCCAGCAGCATTACTAACCTTTTGTTCCATCTTGGAAGGCATCTGACTCTTGACAATCTTGAGAGCATACTTTTGCCTCGTGGGAAGTAGCTGGCCACTGTAGCATATAGCAAATCCTCCCTTTCCCAGTAATTTCCCAACGCGGTAGACAGCGCCGTCTGGGCGATCGGTGCTGCTTGGCTCGAGCACTTCTTCTGGAGGAGGCGGCGGATGTTCTTTATCCTTGGACTTGAGCTGAGCAACTGGCTTGGCCTTTGTTTCCGTGGCCCTGGGCATTCGCTGGGCGTTGACATCTCTAGGGGACAAGGCCTCCATGTCGACGCCGCCCCTGGGGACCAGCCGGTGCGCCATGTCGACGAAGTAACGGTTGAAGCAGCGAGAGGGCCGGTCGAGATTATGCGGCGACGAGGAACGGGCAGGCCACGGGATTCAGCAGCGGCCTGGAGAGACGTGCCGTGGAGTAGCCTAGGAAAACACGGACGCGATTAGGCGATGGGACGCTTTTTGCGGGAGGGCCAAACTCCTGCAGAGCCTTGTGTATGGCCAAAGCTCAGCCGGGCGGCAGGTATGCGGGCTCGAGAAACAAAACACAGCTGAGGCTGTCTTGCTTATTACAGCGTCCAGTAAGCCAGGCCCAAAGCAGGCAGGGCAGGTCTGAAAGGACAAAAAACGGCCAAACTCACGAGGTGCCTCAGATACGCGCAGCATGCGCAGGAATGGTGGCGTGGCGAGGGCCTTTGCTGTAAACAAGATCAAAACATTCAAATGATGGCGCAGTCATGGAAAAGGCATTAAGCAATGCTGGACGATGGTGAGGCGGGCTAAAGGCTGGCGGATGCGAGAAGGTGAGCACAGCGTGACCAGTCGCAGCCACAGAACAAACCCTGCCGTTGACTGACCCCATATTGTGATTTGTGTACTTTGTGGGAGCTGGTTGCTCTTGGCAACAGCAGTGCCTTGTTGTGGGTCACACCGCCATTGCCGTAGGTTACGAGCGATTGATAGCGATTGATAGCGCTTGAGGGCCCACAGCGGCGAGATAGTGATCGCCTAGAGGCGCTGAGAGGGAGGGCTTAGTGGACGTTTAGTGGCTAGCGCCCACTGAAGCCCGCTGAAGCTGTGCCTGAAGCTGTTAAGCAGCTCTGGAGCTTGCGGCGCTGTCACGAGCCAGCGAATTGCAACGAGACAAGACGTATAAGATGGTGCAAAGTTCTGGCTTGGCACCAGACCTAATTTTGCAGCATTCTTGTGCTGTAGACTTGCCGGTATTGCTGCTACTAGTAAACAATCTGTAGCATGTATTACTAGTAGTATTTACTCTACATCAAGCAAGAATTCGTCAGCATGGCGCTCGCCGCAGTCGCTGGGCTTGTCCCTCCCGAAAGCCAGCTCCGGTGGGCACCGGAACATCGCGGGCTCCGGCGCGGACATGAAGCAAGCTAGCGACGACGCCCGTTAAGCCCGACTGTTTAGGCCTCGATGCGAAGCTCGAACTTTGCGATTTTGATGATGAAGGAGTAACAACCAATTGGCAAAGAACGAAACAGCACAGACGCATCGAATTGGACAGGGACCCCACAGACGGCACCGGCGCCCGCAGACAGACAGACAGACAGACAGACAGACAGACCTTCAGCCGGCATCATGGTGCCCCTCCCGCTGTTCAAGCTCGCATCTCTCTTCGTGCGGCATGTCTCCAAGTATGGCGCAGTACGTATTGGAAAGCTCTGTTGTGTCTATTTTTGATACTGATATGTACCGTATATAGAATCGCATCAAGGCGCAAGCCCATGACCATCCTCGATTCCGCGCACTCGCAGCCAAATACGGTCAGGCAATCCATCAGATCAACATGAAGCTGTCTGTTGCCCTCCTGAGAGATCCCGAGGCCGAGCGACGAGCCAAAGAAATAGCCGAAGCCCCCACAGTCAAAACAGAGCAGCAGCTTAAAAAAGAAGAACAAGCCAAGCAGAAGGCGAAGAAGAATAACGAACTCGAGCCGGCTAGCTACCCCAAGTTTACGCTTCAAAACGTATGGCGGCGAAAGTTCCGACCGTTGCCAGAGGGAAAGGCTGTGGATTTATTCGCTGACGTTGCTGGCGATACGTTTATTCTCGGCGTGGCGGGAGCATTGATTATATACGAGTACTGGAAATCGTCACAAAAGCCCGATGCTAATAAAGAGCGGTTAGAGGAGCTCAACAGGAGGTTTGAAGAGCTTCAGAAGAAAGAGGAGGAACTGGCAGATGCCGAGCAGCGGCAGCGGCAGCGATTCGAATCGCTCGAAGAAGCTTTAAGAGCATTGAAGGACCCCAAGACAAAGCAACCATTATTACCATCACTGCAACCGAGCAACTAGGCTATTCGGCTGATGCGGGCTCATCTAGAGCTCCTCAAAGGCAACTCTCGATGCATAAAAGACCATCCGACAGGGAAGAGAAGTCTGTGGCCACACAATGGACTGGGCGCTTCTTGGTTAGGCAGGGATAGATACCCTCAGACCGCTCAACACTCCACTCAGCGCTACAAAGCGATTATATTATTTTGATTTATTATTTCACATATCACGTCGAACAGCGGGTAAAGGATAAAAGAGAAAGGATAAAGGAAAAGAGAAGAAAATTGGGGAACAGGAATTGGATAAAGGGTTATATGAGAAGGAGCGCAAAGGAGTGCAAAGGCTCCTTCCTTGCAGTCGCCTCGCTGCTTTGGAAGTGGATAGATTTTTTCAGCACATACACCAAACAGGAGCATTGAAGCTTTATATAGACAGAAATTCAAACTTTACCAACAACGATTCGAATAGCGCATGGCCGAGTTCTGATTCTTGCTGTATCAAAGATCCGTCGAAACGACCGTCAACGACCATGTTCTGTTCATCCCTCAGAAAGCGAAAGGAATGGGCGCAATTAGTTCCAGCTCTCTCACGAAGCACCGCTCCAGGTTGGAAAGGTAACTTGAAGGCCATCGGTACTAGGTGTCGCGCTTCAAAGGTAGGAGAGCTGACATTTCAGCCAATTCCCTTAGAGACCAATCTCCACGGCCACGACGTTGCTTTTGCTCTGCCACCGCAAAGCGAGGATCATGAGCCACGCGTCTCCTTTAAGCTCATTCTCCTCTCGTCCGAAGAAGCAAAAACCGCAGAGGTCGAGGCCAGGATTGAAAGATTGTCCATGCTCAATGGTGGGCAAAAAGTGGCCATTATGCTTCTACTAGACGGAAGCGGACGAGTGGACTCGTTGGTTCACTTACAGATGAGGTGAGAGCTCGCATATGCTGTACATGGGTTATTGCATCTGCGGAAGCGCCCGTTCCTGACAGAATGGCTCAGTATCTTGACGCAAGGCATGGCCCATGTCCCCATCATCCCCGTCTCCTCTACGGCGGAGCTAGTCACTCGCTTGGATGCTTTACGACGTCAGTGTACAGCCAGCGTTCCCCGCCAAAGCCATGCGCAGGAATTGGCAGAGGTTCGGGCCCTCGCATCGCATTGTGTGCATGGACGGGCACTTTCGCACGAACGCGTGAATATCTTGACGGACATCTCGAGTGGGCTGGGGAGCTTGGCGCAGCTTGTGCTCAGTACGGAAGGGAGGAGGAAGCTTTGCGACTTGCTCGAAGACGAAGAGGGCAATAGGGTGGTGGCATTTTTTGTCCATGGCCACGAAAGCGCTCATCGGTTGGAGATGCGGATGCGGGAGCAGGCAGCGCAAGCATCCGGACAAGTACAGTGGGGGCCAGGAAAGCTATGATTTGCGGTATATCGACGTTTACATGCAAGATTAATTTTGTAGAGATTCTCAATGAGCAGAGAAGATGATCCAGTTTGCAGTTGTTACGAGTATGAGCGGGTGCTTGATGTGGACCCTGTGATACAAGTACGAATGGAGCCAATACTATCAATCACCATGTTTACCATTCACATCACTTGCCCAGGGCTACGGTATTTGGTGATCATCACCCAGCTATGGCTTCTTATGGCCCATGCTCTCCGGGTCTACGCCGAAGAATTGGACGACAGCGGCCGATTTGGCGGTCAACGAATGCGCAACAGGACTTGTGATGGTGGCGCCGGTTGGTTGGGGCGGACGGTGAGGGGAGCCAATCAGCAGTGGTGTAGAGCCGCCCTGAGGCTGAAGAGGGCAATTCGATGGGCATGGCCTGATGACAAGCCCATACGCTAGGGCCATGATTTGGACTGTCGAGTCTTTTTTCTCACCTTTTCTCGCACATTGCAAAGAAACGGCCGTTGTCTCCATGCTAGTGTAGAGTGATGTGATGGAAGGAGGTGACGGAAGATTGTGACAAATGAGTAAGATGCAGAGCAGACTGATGGCCGGGAACCTGTATTGGTGGAGTAAATGGCTCCAAAGCTCGAGCATCTAAACTGACAGACAATGGCGTTTCTAGGAGGACGAAGCTTATCTTTATATCGATTCATGCGAAAAAAAAAAAAAAAAAAAAAAAGACAACAAGGGCGAGCAAACGCAATGTCGCATCCGCCTGTCCCGTCAACGTGGCAAAGCGGGAACGATCATACATGATCGATTTTAAAAAGAGTTGCATGAAAAAAAAAAGGGACGTCCGACCAACAACAAGATCTCGCGAAAGCCAGAAAAAGTCGGAAACCAATGAATGGCTGCTTGAGCTGTTGACCCGCACTTCTATTTCTGGGCCCCCCCATGACTTGCGAGCTAAATCTTCCTTGGCGGGTGATTTTTTGTTCTCTAGCATCTTTTTCCAATCCATCGAAAGCTTGAACAAGGGCAGCTTTTTTTACTGGCGGGTCCAACACGGAGAGGAGAGGCTTGGCTGGTGCCGGGGACGAAACTGGCCAAACACGGCGTGCTTCATGATTGCGGGATGTGAGACTGCGGTGGTCGCGCCTCTGTCAGAGTGGCTCACTAGCAGTGCTTGTCTGTTTCTTTTCCTCTCAGCTGTTTTGATTTTGAATCAGCGGCAAGATCGAGCTGGACAAGATGAATACTATTCATGTTTGAATCAAGATGCTAGGCCTGGTGGATTGGAGAAGCTATCGCTGCGCATGCAAGACGCAAGACATGCGGAGCAACAAAAAGGCTCCAATCCGACCCTCTTGCTCTCGCTTCCAACATCCATGCATGAAGTACTGGTCGGCTTCGGCAGCTGCACGCAGTACCTAGCAGCGACAGCAGCAAATGAATGTCATGCCGCCCAGCATTGCGTATTTCCCAGGTACTCCAGTCAAACCGCACGCGCTCGTAGCGCAGGGGATCCCCCGAGCTTCAGTGGACCAGGGCCTCTCCCCCCCCTGCAACCCCCGACGCGCAGGAGAGGCGGCTTCTCCTCTCATTGGCCCAGGCCCTCTCTGTAACCGCCGAGGACAGGCCAATCGGCGTGTGATTCGCAGCTACAAGAGAATCGCAACACCAAAGCGCCAGACTGTGAGAGGGCCAAAGCAGAGAGGCAGAGGCCATTTTTGTGTGACCAGTTCGCAGCAGCGGCCCACCAGCTGACTGACTTTTGATCCAGACTGCGACTTGCTGTACATGTTGCAGAAGCGGTAGTGCCACCAATATATCGTAGTAAATACTCAAAAGCGCCTCCCCCCCTCTCGTCCGCATTTTCTCTTGCTCTCACTGCTTCAGAATATACCGTACTTGATACCCCCCATTCAGCGTTAATTCCAGTCGCAAAGGCTCCCCTGTTCAACCACATTTCATCCTGTTGTTGGGCCTTTTTTGCTTTATCTCTTTTATTTTCACTTGCTGTGTATGAGACCACGACTAGCCGACGACTTTTACTACTAGGTACACTACGATTACCTACATCTGGATACCATCGCGACAACAAGCAGCAACACGGAGCTGCCAACACTCCTAGCATCACGATTTAGCACAGCAATCGTGAAACCCTTCAAAGATACCCTCCCGAACTTTTTTTTTTTTTCAACCTTGCTGGACGCACCCGAGATCATTCGTCTCGCCCCCCCTTTTAGCTGCCGCCGGTACAAATCTCAAACACGCTCCTCGTTAGAGATCTGCTTCAGGTTCACTCCACCCTTGGTCGACTGGCGGATATCGATCTATCCGGCCCTTGCTCGTCCCGCCTCATTCCACCAAAGAAACAATAGGCATTGCATTTTTATTTCACAAATCTAAATAAGCTTGGACAAAAAAAAAGAAAAAAAAAAGCCTTATTACACGAACCCGGCCGAAGCAGAAACGAATCCCGGCCTAGTCCCCTCCGCCCCAGCACCCATATTTCCCCTCTCACCTCGCTAGCTTCCGCGGACCTGACACAAGGCCTCAAACGTTCTTGTCTAACGCCTCGGCGCCAAAAGAACCACCAACCCAGGCCGGCGATCAGGACCTCCCCCTGGGAGGAAACACAGTCAGGTCTCTTCTGGCTTTTTTTTTTTTTGGTCCACCTCCAATATAGACTTGAGCTGTCCCTGCTTTTTGCTTGGGCTCTTGTTTCTTTCTTTCTTTTCTGGTTCTTTTTTCCTTGGCCATTCTTTTTCGTCTTGTCACCAGCTGCGAGTCTGCTCGGTGTTCTTTTTTCTTTTCTCTTCTTTTTTTTTTATCATTCGTTTCTTCGTTACGCGGGTCCGGTACCTGTCAGTTATACTTCTTTTTTTGTACCATAACGCCCTAATAACTTTTTTTTTTCTCTTTGTCCCTTTTTTTTTTAACGAGGAAGAATTCATTCGGTTGATCCGACTTTTTTTATTCGGCTGCATATCAACTTTCAATCTCTTGGACGGGTCCAACAAGGGTAGAAACGGGAAAAGGAAACAAACGATTTCCAAGGATTTTACATCACCGGGAAATAAGGGAAATATTCACGAGGTCAAAAGACGATTATTTCATAATCCGCAACAATGGGCAAGCTTATCAAGAACCACTGGGCTCGGCTCATCATGCTCACAGCCGCTACTTGTACGTACAACCCCTTCACTTACACACACACTCATATTTCATTTCAACTAACACCCATTTCCTAGACCAAATCGGCGCCGCCATCGAGGGCTTCATCTGGCCCAAGATCTTCTGGGACTTCCTCACCCACTCGCTCGACGTCATGGTCAAGCCCTTCCCCGTCCTGCAAATCATCAACCTCATCTTCGGCATCGCCATGATCGCCCTGGAGTGGCCCCTTCCCCTGCTCGCCGGCACCAGCGTCCACCGATCCATCGAGTTCCGCCTTGCCGTCCTGCCGCTGTCCGCGCTCGCCTGCCTGCTCATGTATCAGTCTACGAATCCGGGCCTGTATTATCTGGTGGGCATGGGTGCATATTTCTGGGCTTTCAGCGAAGGCGAGGTATGTTTTTGGCTTCAAAACTTCTCTAACCATTTATTTTTTGTCATTGACGCTAACATTCTTTATTCAGATCATCTGCGCAAAACCCTGGACTCTACCTCCGCGAACACCAAATGCAAGCAGCAAAGTCTGAGACTCAGATGCCAAGGAACTATTCAAGCAAGGAAAGGAGAAGGAGAGAAAAGAACGAGCAATGGAACATTCGCATGTAACCAGATGGGAAAAGGTGCTAGGGAGGGGCAACGGAATGACAGAAGGCCATATCCAGGACCATGGAGTTGTGTGTGTATTACAAGTACTCGAAATTCGCTTCCCGCAGAAACAAAAAAAGTCCAGCCAGAGTCAGACAAAATCGAATTCTTCTATAAAGAGGGCCTCTCAGGATTCAGCATCCATCCCTTTCACTATTTCCTATCTTTTGAGTGTTTTTTTTTTTCAGCATCGGTTGGCATTTGGTAACAAATGTTTACGTGTATTATTATCATGCTACTTGGTATTTTGTGTACGACTGTATTCCTGTTTTTGGGCTTATGAACTTTCGCCTTTTCGTTTTTTTGTTAAGCTTTTCAGTAGTCTTTAGTTGTTAGCGAGAGGGAGTGGAAACGGTGCTTTTGGAGGAAATACTAAAGAGCGTGGTGTGATGAGATAGCATATCAAACTCGATCCAGCACATGGGCCACATTCGAAACAATTATCGAATGACATCATGATACAAGTCGTATGAGCTTTGATGGAACCCGGTGACAATCGAGCCGTGGATCCAATGGAGTGCACAAGTGGAATCTAGACCCGCCCAGCGGCTTGCTGCAGACACGGCCCCATAATCATGGTAACTTTCAAATGCAATGCTTGATTATTCCCCTAGTATAGAGATTCCTACTGTATGTAAGAAGAGCAACACGACGCAGGCACGGTTCACTGCATATTGCTTCGTGCGGGAGCGCCCTTGTGCCCGAGGCCATCTTATCGCTCAATCAAGGCCCATGTCCATAGTCCGTATCCCATGCTGCTCTTCCAGGCCACTCAGACCACCATCTCACTGCCACAGTCCCGCTGTATTAACACAAGGGGGTGGAAACTGAGTGAGACGCTCCTAACCCAGCGCCGCATCTATTTTACTCTCATCGAGCTCATAGACTCATTCGTTACGCCTTGTCGGCCAGGCATCTGTCCAAGCGCCAGAAGCATCAGCACTCTGTCAAAGAGATTGCATTTCGATTTGGGTCATGGATGAAGCGACTTACCTCCATGTTCTGCATGGAACCCTGCTCGAGAATCTTCAGAAGCGCCTCGTCAGAGTTCTCAGTGTCGAACTCGGCCGCCAACTCCACCTTTGACGCCGTGTCAAAGGTTCCCTGAGCTCCTTGCCTGTACGCAAATGCAGTGTTAGCCGCCGCTTTGATCTCACAGACTGGGTATAAGCTAGTAGATACATACTTGTGTGTCAGGAATACATTGAAAGTTGAAACGAACTGAGCAGGAGGAATGCTCTTGTCGCTCTGCCACTTCTTGTATGTCTCTACATCATCCACAAAGACGATGAAGTCCTCCTGCTTTCCCTTGTAGTGAACCTTGACCTGAGTAGATTCTCCGCGAGTCATCTTGGCTGGTGTTGTGGTTGGTAGTTGGTGGGGAGACGAAAGGTGGGTTGTTTGGATGATTTAGGTCGCGTGACGTATAGCCGAAAGTGCTTGTTTGTGGTGTTTATATCTTTCTCTGGGTTGGCAAGAGAGAAATTGAGAGTGTAACGAGTTGATAATAGATCGTGATGTTTTTTTTCTTAGAGTTCAATGAGATGTGAAAAGAAAAGAGGTTAAGAAATGGGAACAACAGCAGTTTTAATAGATGCGCCGTGGGGAGGGGAGCTCTATCCCCAACTACGTCATCGTGGCGTGCGGGCCAAGTGCAAGTACCTTCGGCAGCTGGTCCCAGGCCAGGCCTCCACTGCCAGCTTCCAGCACAGCAGCACTTTATTGTCTCTGCCAGCGCCGCACCTCCACCAGGCGCTGCGCAATGGGTACGAGATGACCTCATCATGTCTGTATCCGGTACTGGCGAGACAGGCCATACGTAAGGCCGAGCCTGGAGTGGCCCGTGCTTGGCTGGCGATCCAGGAACACTTCTGGACACTTGTACACAGTTCACAGTTTACAGGTCGCAGTTCACAGCCTTGTCTTGGTCAATTGCTTCTTCCATCGTCTTCTGTCTTTCAATTGGATCCACCGGCTCCTCTTGGTGTTGCTTGTTGCTCGCGCCATTGCTGCATCTCGCATTCCAGGCATGACTACGCCCAGCATCATCCTCCTGGCATTGGCCCCCCCTGAACTTGGCAAAGCAATCAATAGTCGTGGCTCGTTTATCAATTCCTAACTTGTAACCGATGCTCTGAGCTTCCCCGGGTTCCTGTAGAAATGATGTGCTAATCCATACAAAAGACCCAAAACATGCTAGCTTATGTTGACAATCAAACCTCGATAGACAGTTGGCCATTTCCCCATGGCTCCATTTCCAAGCTGCACAAACATCCAATATGCCTCTGCATCCTCAAAAGGCCTCCAACTCTCCTCGAGCAGACTAATCCCTGCCAATTGTGAGCAGCCTTTTGAAGCTGCTTGGTGTGTCATTCTTCACTCCGCCGATTTTGGACCATAAGCCCAAGTTTCGAATCTTTTCTGTAGACGACTTCCTTGTATTATCCACGTCACCAGGAAGAGCACTGGGAAGAGGCGTCATGGCCCTCAAGTTGGTCGATTTTACGGGCAGGGAAATAGTCGCGGATGCCATACGAGTAGGGATTTGATGTATATCGCTGGCAATGTCCCGCTTGGGCATCTTATGTTCTCGAACTTCGCGCCGCCGAACGCTTCCAGTCGCTCTTTTCATGCTGCGCGCTGGTGTTGTTGCTGCAGCCTGCTCCTTTGTAGTCCGCTGTCTTTTCGCCTTTCTACCTGCCTCTTCCCTTAGACTAGCGTCATCATACAAATGCGGCTCCTTTGGACTTTTGACATCTCGACGCTTGGTCGTTTCCGTGGCGATATTTTCGCCGGGCTGGTTCTTCTGTGTTGAAGAAGCCGACCTCTTTGTAAAGGAGCTTGCAAAGCTGGCTACGCTGAGCTTTCTGATAACCGTAGATGCCGAGCTTCGGACTAAATTTTCACCTCGAGACTTCACCGTCATTCTAGGAAACGGGAGGACTTCTCTGCTCCACACATCTGATAAGAGCGCCTCTAGCCGAGCTCTTTCACCTCTTGGCGGCGCAAGGACCGGTATCCGGGTAGCAGTTGTCAACAAAGAATGTGAGCGATTGACAGCCATGGCAGCGGACGAGTTGTTGCCATGATCCCGCAGCACATTTGTATTTTTCAAGATGACTTGGCATAGGGGCGCCCTGGCCCCTCCAACAGTAGTGGCCCTTTGTATCGATATCCGTCGGGCGAGCGTTCCTTGAATCTCAGTTAGCATGTCGAAATTTCAAATAGACCCATTACGTACCTGGCTTTCCAAAAACTGTTCCCAAGCTTTTTACATTTATATACAATGAACTAAACATATCCGACGGCCTCAGCTCTTGGTCTTCTCTCACTGGCCGAGCCAATCTTGACCTCCACTCCATTTCTTCTTTTGGCGTGCAAGCAGTCATAATCAATTCACATAACTGATGGTCGCACTCAAATACCAACTTCCAGGAAAATGGCGCAGTGTGACATTGTATTCCTGTCAGATGTTAGCTCCGCCATGGCCTACCCTTATTCCTTATTCTCTATTATTTTAGTAAATGGTCAAGGCTAGCCGTTCTTACCTCTCCCATTGTCTACCTCCTCAAGTCTGATATCATCAAGATTGATACAGGCCATAATTGTGTATATCGGATCGACCTTGCCGGCAGAAGCAAGGCAGAGAACATGGCGGTAAAGCAAACAGATAAAGTACTGCCCATCTACTCCATCATTGGTTTGCCAACATACATGAAGCGTTCCGCAAAGACGAATGTGACCGAATGATCGTATCTGGTTTTTTGAAACTGCATCAAGTTTCTTGGTCGAATGTTAGCCCTATTAAAGCCCATGAGCCTATAATATAGGAGGCATCTTACTCTGTCTGGAAAGGCTAATCGATCTTGGAGGATCCATGTTTTTTCAAGAATGGACTTTACCCCCTCATCGTCCGATGCCCGATTGATCTCCGTGGTTGCTTCGCGAAGCCGTGTCAGGGTGTTTTCAATTTCCATGTGTGAGTTTGGACAGTCTGATATTGGAGTGCACTTGAGAAGCTCAGAGAACAGTAGAGGATATTTGCAGATTCTTTGTATAGGCTGTAGCGAGTGTTAGCGCTTCGTAAAAGGATGGGGGCTATCTGAAAGCGAAAGCACCTTGACAAGAAGATCATTGATTGTAAGAGCCTTTTTCGCCCCTTCTTCGCTACCCTTGGAGGATCCCAGCGCCATAGCCAAGGCCTCGAGGCCTTTCTGATACGTCTCCCAGTTTGGCATGGCTTGCTGAGCTGCACTGATGTCTTTGATCATCATTTCATATGTCGCCCCATACTCTTCATATATGAAGAGCATGTTTACCTAGAGAGAGAAAAAAGGGTAGGGGAAACAGTTAGATCTAATCACACAAAGGTCTTGTAACGAGCAAATACCTTTTTTGCAAAAACTTTTGCGACCTCTGCTGCCACTTGCGGATCGGCCAGCATACCCGGGGCTTTCAAGAGCCACCTTGCTTTCATATTTTGCTCAGGCACTGCGCCGAGACTGGACCAACGTTTGTGGCTATGGGCATGGAGACAGTTTGGGTTGGCAAATGGAGTAATCGTAGGTGATACGTTGATTTGCGTGTATTCGGAGTATGGAACTGCCCTGTGTAGTTCGCCTAGAAGTTGCTCGTGTAGCTTGACAATCCCGGTCAAGTTCTGGTTGATTGATGACCGTAGTCCAACGCAAATAGAGGGCAACGCCGCTAAGATTGTGAAATATACCTATAGACTGCGTAAGCAGATGGACAGCTACAGGGTTTGGATTTTGTTCAATTACATTCATGAGAAATCGTACATCACCAATGTACCCCTCTTCTGTACTGATAAGCTCTTCTAGTACTTTTCTTCGCTGTAATGACCTCTCGATAGCAGCCAGGTCGGCCAAAGAGTGGCTCTCCAAGAAGCTGCTGTCTTCTGACGCACGCGGCGCTGTCATGGAAGCTCTGCTGCTACGTTCCGTCACAGAAAAGCCCTGCGAGCGTGCAGTAGTCTTTCGAGATCGTGCCATGGCGCTGACACTGGCGAGACTGGCACTAGCACTCCGAACCGCCGAAACAAAGGCAAACGAAGACCCAGAGGACGACTGTCGATGGTGTGATCTCTTCCAGGCTGGTGTGCGGCTGCGAAGCTCTGGCTCAAGTGGCGGTCGCAGAGAATTAATGCTTCCGTCCGACAGCGTGGATCGATGCCGAGCTCGGCGATGTATCGTTCGCATCCATTTATGGAATGGGCCGTGTGCTTTGAGTTGTCCATGGCTCTCCGAGTCTAATACCGGGACACTATTATTGTCAATAGTGATCTGAGGCACCTGGATGGCGGTATCCAGAGACACTGTTTCAGCGATGGTCTGAAGCTCAGGGTCGTTGACTCTTGCCCCAGTCGCAGGAACACTGGTTTCTTCAATACCAAGCTGGGACATTTTTGTGATAACTTCAGGCTGGTCAGCATCAGACATGGCGTCGTCATCGCAATATTCCATTGCATCTTCGTATTTTTGCAGCAAAGCAGCCCAGCTCGAGCGTCGAGAACTCGAGCTCGAGTTGGAGCCACTGGGGCAAGGAGGAGAATCGGCTGGCGCCATTGTGTCCAACGGTAGTCAAAATTGAAGTGGAGCAAGGCAAGACTGAAAAATGACATGTAAAACTGGCTCCAGTATGCCAAAGACCAAACGGAGCTGGAGATTCACGATCCAAACATAGCAAAGTGTACAAGCTAGGAATAGGATAATATGGGCAGAGAAGTCGTTGGCAGTGTAGCAAGGAGAATAGAGGCAGAAATAGCCATGGCGCGTAATAACACAGAAGCTGTGGTGACGAGAGCTGTAAGAACGATGGCACCAGTTGGCCGGGCGTTGTCTCTTTCCCTTTCTATTAGGGAAGGACGTGGACAATGGCACACTGAAGGGCGCTATAAGCAGAAGTATGGGCGATATGGCCTACTGTCCTGTAAAACGGCACCTCCATGAAACATTCAAACTTACAACTCCTATTACCTGCGCTGATATCACAAAAGGGGAATGGCAATTGTTGACGAGTATAGCTTGTCTATCGGCGGCATATTCAACCAAGTATCTGAGAGCAAACCTGGGCTCCTCGATACATCTCAAGGTCTATAGAGCAGCGCATAATGAATGACTCGGCTCTACCAGGCTAAATCTCTAGACGATTACGTGAAACGTAATTCCGCGACTGACATCGTCGTCGAAGCGATGCCGGCCGGCCGCCGAGTTCTACGGAACATGAAGTCGTTTGCCTCATTGCATCGGAGCCAAGTAATGCGGACCGATATGGAGCAAAATTGTGGAGTTGGGCGGCTTTGACTGGGACCGCCGAGAAACATGGAGAGCAAGAGATGTACGGAGAACAAGACCAAGACTGCAGCATAACTTGCAACAAGGAGTAAGTACAAGTAGTCTTTTCTTACAAATAGCCGCAACATGAAAGCCGCGTCTTGGTCATCCCCAGTCCTACATGTCAGGCTTCCGCCTATTGGCCATGCAAGGGCAGAAGAAAGACTGAGAAAAGAGAAGGGGATGCAAGACGTGCCAGTGATACATACATACAATGCCATTCTTTTAGGATTTTCCTGGTCTGGGAACAACAACCTGATACGAGGCTTGGACAGGCAGTCAACATAAAATGAAATACTGCCAGGCACTTTCATCAACCGTATGCAGGGTCTTCTTCTCATCTCTGATCCTTGCTGGGAGGCAGAGGCGAAGAGCCCGCCACGCTGGTGAGATGCGAGGTCGCACTGTGCCGCCGCCGTGTCCCAACACACCCGGCCCGCCAAAGCACACCGCCGATGGCCCGTCGGCTGCCGCATACACAGTATAAAACACAGTGCAACACCGTCCAAACTAGCGCTCGGCCCTGGCATGCTTCGCCCGAGTCGCCCAGCAAGGCGCTGCCAGGCGGCCCTGAAGCTAACCGCAGGCGGACAAGCCCAAGCCCTTCGCGCGAGGCAGTGATGCAAAGGCCCTCCACCCCTTGGCTCGAGAAGTCGAACAGAACACGTTGAAGTTTTCCTGGACGGCCGTGAGACTCAGCGGCGGGCCCCGACCTTTTTTTTCCAGCGAGCAACTAGACTAATCTACAGGTAAGCCCATGCCTTTTGCCGCTCGCCACGTGGGGCCTTTTCCTTTTCTCGGGAAGTCTTGACAAATCTGCCATGTTGGCAAACCCGCTGCCTTGTCCCGCAAACTATTACTAGTGCCCTGCTGGCCACTTCTCTCTTTTGTCTTCACTCTTGGATTTTGCGTTTGGCATCTCGAGTTCTAAATCCAGAGTCTGCAGCAGAGCCTCTCTATATTCATAGCGAGAGCCTCGATCCGGATCCAGATCCCGTTGCGCCCTCCCCGCCGCTCTCGGCGCAACCCGCCATCATGGACAACGCCTATGCTCTTCCCATCGACGCGGTGCTCGCCAACTTCGGCGTCAAGGAGCAGACCGGCCTGACTGACAACCAAGTCTCCGAGCTTCGAAATAAGCACGGCCGCAATGGTACGCAATCTCCAACTCCCAGAGTGTTCAAGATTCTTGTCCAGTCTTTTGCCGACTTGCTCGCCCCGCCATATCAGACACGACCTTGACTTGATGTCTGTGATGCTAACTCCAGCCTAGCGATTCCCGAAGAGCCCCCAACTCCCCTCTGGGAGCTCATTCTAGAACAATTCAAAGATCAACTCGTCATCATCCTGCTTGGCTCCGCCGCCGTTTCCTTTGTTCTCGCCCTGTTCGAAGATGAAGGCGGCTGGAGTGCATTTGTCGATCCCGCCGTTGTAAGTGCTTCCGCGGCCTGTGTTCTCGCCGGCATAGCTGGCTTAATGGTTTGATCTCGTCTCTAACCGCATACTCCTCTACGTGTAGATTCTTACCATTCTGATCCTCAATGCCGTTGTCGGAGTCTCCCAAGAAAGCAGTGCCGAAAAGGCCATTGCCGCTCTGCAAGAATACTCGGCCAACGAAGCCAATGTCGTGCGAAACGGTGGCCACGTATCCCGAGTCAAGGCCGATGATCTTGTCCCTGGTGACATCGTCTCAGTTGCTGTTGGAGACCGAATCCCCGCCGACTGCCGTATCGTTTCTATCGAGAGCAACAGCTTTTCTGTGGACCAGGCCATCTTGACCGGCGAGAGCGAGAGCGTTGGCAAGGATTCTACTGCGGTAGTGAACGATGACAAGGCTGTCTTGCAGGATCAGGTCAATATGCTCTTCTCCGGTACCACGGTCGTTACTGGACGCGCCAAGGCTATTGTCGTCTTGACGGGCTCCAACACTGCGATTGGCGATATCCACGAAAGCATCACCGCTCAAATCTCCGAACCTACTCCCCTGAAGCAGAAGCTCAACGATTTCGGCGATAATCTGGCAAAGGTCATTACCGTCATCTGCATCCTCGTCTGGCTGATCAACATTCCCAACTTCAACGACCCTAGCCACGGCACCTGGGCCAAGGGAGCCATTTACTACCTCAAGATTGCCGTCTCCTTGGGCGTCGCTGCGATCCCTGAAGGTCTTGCGGTTGTCATTACTACTTGTCTTGCTCTTGGTACTCGCAAAATGGCGGCTAAGAACGCCGTTGTGCGCAGCCTGCCCTCGGTTGAGACTCTGGGAAGCTGCAGTGTCATCTGCTCTGACAAGACCGGCACACTCACCACCAACCAGATGAGCGTCAACAAGATGGTCTATCTTAACGAAGCCGGAACCAATCTGACTGAGCTTACTGTTGAGGGTACTACTTTTGCTCCCAAGGGCAATATTACTTTGAACGGCCAGGTCGTCGAGAATCTTGCCTCCACCTCTTTTACTGTTCTCCAGATTGCCGAGGTCGCTGCTCTCTGTAACGATGCCAAATTGGCCTACGATTCACGCACTGCTGCTTATTCCAGCGTTGGCGAGCCCACCGAAGGCGCTCTCCGAGTTCTCGTTGAAAAGGTTGGCCCTTGTGCCCCTGCCGGAACTGCTCTTGAAGACTGTGGGCACTTTGCCAGCGCCACGCACGAGCAGAGGTTGCCACGGCTTGCGACTTACGAGTTCTCTCGCGACAGAAAAAGCATGTCAGTCCTTGTTCAGAACGGTAACGCCAAGAAGCTGCTTGTCAAGGGAGCCCCCGAATCGGTCATTGAGCGCTGCACAAGCACCATTGTTGGTGCCAACGGCAACAGAGTTCCCCTTACCGAAAAGCTCCAGAGCACTCTGCTCAAGGAGGTTGTGGAGTATGGTAACCGAGGCCTTCGTGTCATTGCCCTTGCCAGCATTGAGGATGTTTCCCAGAACCCGCTCGTCAGGTCTGCAAAGTCCACCGAACAATATGCCCAGTTGGAACAAAACATGACCTTCCTCGGATTGGTTGGCATGCTGGATCCTCCTCGTCCTGAAGTCCCCGCCTCTATCAAGCAGTGCAAAGATGCCGGTATCCGTGTCATTGTCATCACTGGTGATAACCGCAACACCGCCGAGAGCATCTGCAGACAGATTGGTGTCTTTGGCCAGCACGAAGATCTCCAGGGCAAGAGCTATACTGGACGCGAATTCGACAACCTCAGCCCCGGCGAGCAGCTGGAGGCGGCTAAGAAGGCTTCTCTGTTCTCTCGTGTTGAGCCCGGTCACAAGTCCAAGTTGGTTGACCTTCTCCAGTCTCTTGGCGAGGTCGTTGCCATGACTGGTGACGGTGTCAACGATGCCCCTGCTCTGAAGAAGGCTGACATTGGTGTGGCCATGGGTTCCGGAACTGACGTCTCCAAGCTGGCCGCAGACATGGTTCTGGCCGACAGCAACTTTGCGACTATCGAGGTGGCCATCGAAGAGGGCCGTTCCATTTACAACAACACTCAACAATTTATTCGCTACCTGATCTCCTCCAACATTGGTGAGGTTGTCTCCATCTTCTTGACGGCTGCCCTAGGAATGCCAGAGGCGCTGATTCCCGTTCAACTGCTCTGGGTCAACCTCGTCACCGATGGTCTCCCCGCCACCGCCCTGTCCTTTAACCCACCCGACCACGGCATCATGAAGCGCCAACCTCGTAGAAGAGATGAGCCTCTCATTGGCGGCTGGTTGTTTATGCGCTACCTTATCATTGGTACTTATGTCGGTCTTGCAACTGTGGCTGGTTACGCTTGGTGGTTCATGTACAACCCCGAGGGTCCTCAGATCACCTTCCGACAGCTTTCTAGCTTCCACCGTTGCTCAACCGAGTTCCCCGAGATTGGATGCGAAATGTTCTCCAATGACATGGCCAAGTCTGCCTCTACCGTGTCTTTGTCGATTCTCGTGGTGATTGAGATGTTCAACGCCATGAACGCCCTATCATCCAGCGAGTCGCTCCTCACTCTGCCTCTGTGGAACAACATGATGCTCGTATACGCCATTGCCCTGTCCATGGCTCTCCACTTTGCCCTCCTCTACACGCCAATTCTCCAGAATCTGTTTGCTATCTTGCCGCTAAATATGCTGGAATGGCAGGCGGTTACCATTATCAGCGCGCCTGTAGTGTAAGTTTGCCCCTTGATTTACCTCTTTCATTCTTTGTTTAGAAATGAGAAGACTAACAAGACTTATTTAGTTTGCTTGACGAAATCCTCAAGGTTGTTGAGAGGCAATTCTTTATGCAGCAGAAGACGGCTCCCAAGGCCATCAAGGCTAAGAAAGAGGAGTAAACGGGAAAGGGAAAAGGGAAAAAATTTAGAGGGTATATATATACATTATATACACATATACAATGCATACAGGTATATAGAAGGAAGAGAGACATTACTCACTAGTTGACTCGCATTGACTACAAGATGATCCTTGACAGATGATATTTTGGGACTTTTGTTAATTGTTTATTTCATTTGTCTTTTGCATGCATTCGTAATCTCGATTGACGTGTTCGAGTCAGCTCTTGCTGCTATCCATGCAGCAGAGACACAGCTTCGGTCACTTGCAGGCCCTCAAACCATTTGTGATATCCCGTTTTTTTTTGTTCTTCGTCTAGTAATATGTATTTATATGGAAAAGCAAAGCGACTTTAGTCCTGTCTACCCTTTAGTAACCTCTTGGTGACCTTGTCCTTCTCGATGATGTATACGTGGGCTCCCCAGCCGGATAGAGCGTCACGGTCGACGGCAGTCAGAAGGGCTTGTGAAATGGTCTCGAACAACGCATCGGGTTCCTGTGAAGTTTTTCTATGTTAGCATATGTGTGTCTTTGCAGAAGAAGAGAATAAGAAACATACCAAATCAGGCTCCCACAGACCCTCGCACATGCCAAACAGCTGCTCCGACGCCGTGCCCGACACGATAAAGTCCTTTGCAAAGTCGATGCAGCCAATGCTGTCGAAGCCGCAGATGAAGGGCTTCCCCGTCTTGGGGTCCAGGCCGGCGACGACGGGCGAGACAAAGTAAGGGCCGAAGCGGCGCTCGTAGAGGGAGGAGGAGACGAGGTTGGCAAAGGTGCGCGGGGCGATGGCGCGCTCCTCGCGCAGGCGGTACATGTTGACCTTGTAGCGGAAGAGGTCGCTGACGGTGCTGACGTCTGTGGCTAGGCCGGTCAGGCCCAGGAAGACGTCGCCGTACTGGAAGATTTTGGGGAAGTTGTTGGAGATGGTCAGGGCCTGGAGGCCGAGGCGGAGGTCGCAGGCGATGGCGACGCAGTCCTTGCCGACCATGGCGACGCAGGCACCGCCGTCTGGGGGGGAGTTGGAGTTAGCAGGGAAGATCGATGTGGTATGGGATGAGGATTAGATCGGCTGGGCAACTGACTGATCGAAAAGGGCGAAGACTGTATGGCGAGAGTACAGCGTTAGCTTTCAACTACCACGGTGGTGATGATGACAATGCAGCGCTGTACGTACCATGATGCTTGCTGTTGATCGATTCTGGGATGCGTTTCGAGATTCACGGCAGCAGTGCAAGTAAAGGAATAAGTGGTGCTCTCCCTGGAGGCCCCGTCGCTCGAATCAATGCAGTCGTGGTCTCGCAGAGTTGTTGTTGCAGCGTGGTTTGGCCGGAAGCTCTACGTTCTACGTCTACAGCTGCCCCAGCTCTCTCGCTCTCCCCACGCTTGGCTGGCACGCAAAAGCGCAGGCAAACATGGTCTGGCGTGGCCGCTGTGTGGCGCAACTTGGAACAAACTGCGCCCGAGCTTCTGCCGCTGTGGCTGGTGCTGCTGCTCTTACGTATGTGCGACCTGCCTTGGGCGAGGCTGCCTGCGGATTGTTCGAGAAAGCGGGTGGGGCCCTTTTGCTGGATATCTAATCGGCTTTGGCTTTTGACAGCTTGCCTGGTCGGTTTGAGCTTTTGCAAACAAATTGATTTGCTTTGGTTGTACAAGAGAAAGTTGAGAGAAATTCAATTTCTACTACCTACTTCTTCTTTTTTTTTTGTCCTATATGATTTGCTACTTTTGACTTGCAGTCACTTGCAGTGGGCTTATTCTCTTTCTACATCGGCAGCTGAAGACGGTCACAACCCCACCATCTCGTCCGTCTACTTCGTGCAGAGCTCCCAAAATCACCTGTTCTCATACTTGACAGTTCAAGAGACTGCGACCACGTATCTCAGAGGCTGTTGTAGCTTCACTATAGCTTCCTCAGCCTAGCCGACATCATGTCGTCGCACGTCGTGGTCATCGCCACGGATCTGCGGCGCACCACCATCAAAGTCAGCCCCGGCACCTACTTGTCGGATGTTCTAGCTGAAGCTTGTAAGAAGCTTGGCCTGGACGGCGACAAGTACTTGTTAAAGTGCGCATAACACCCCTCCAGCTCTGCTGAGCTGTTTGCTCGCTCCGTGTTGCGCATATCTTGCTAACGCCCATGCGCCCTTAGACACAAGCAGAAACAGGTCGATCTCTCCATACCGTTCCGTACGTCTGGCCTCCTCGCCGGCGCCAAGCTAGAGCTTGTGCAAAAATCCAAGACCCCATCAGCCGTTCAAATCGCCCTGCAGATTCCCCAGCCAGAGGCCAAAGAGATCCCTGGTGGCCGGCTGATTAAGAAGTTTCCCTCCGACTTGTCAATATGGCAGGTGCTGCGACAGTTTGAAAGCGGCGAGGCGAGCGCGGGGAAGAACATCAACATTACGGCCAGAGGCGTGGCCCAGACGGCCAACAGCGAAAACTCTGGGGCCGGCCAGCTATTTTATGAGACGCCAGTCTTGAATATCATGGGCCGCGAGCTTGGATCGTTTGCCGATTTCCAGAAGTCGTTGTCGCAGCTGGGACACAACTCTGGCAATGTCCTTGTACGCCTATCGTTTAGAAGGACTGAGCAAACACTGTATGAGGCGATGGAACAGATTGGAGCCTTTTTCAAAGAAGAAGAAAGGGAGAAGCAAGAAGAGAAGGAAAAGGCGGCTCCAGGCGTCCCAGAAGACAAGCCTAAAGATTCACTAACGGACGGAGACGTACCCATGGCCGAAGCTCCAGCCGAGCCCATCAACAATACGGTCGAAGCGCAGACAGAGCCAGCTCCAGAAGATACACACGACCCGGCATCATCAATACAAGCCGAGACGAAGAACTCGGATCCTCAGTCACGCCTCGAACCTGTCAATGTCTTCCTCGCTCCTACAAACTCGACACCTGCTGCCGCTCTTGCGCCATTCGACGAAAGTGATGTCATGCCCACTGTCGCGCAGGCTCAACTGCATCAGGCCCGCCTGCTAGAAAACTCCAGGAACAAGAGACTGCTGTCTGATAAAGAAATTGAAGAAAAGGAGGCGGCTGAGCTGGCCAAGATTGATGCCGTCAAGTCTGTGCTCATCAAGGTGCGGTTCCCAGACAATACCAGCAGCGATTGGCAAGTTGGCCCGTTAGATACTGGCGCATTCTTGTATCAGGCAGTACGGCATGTCATGGCCAACAACGGCCAGTCATTCCATCTTGTCATCCCGGGGAGCAAGAAGGTGATCCAGGATGACGACACCCCCAAGCACAACCTCATCCGAGCGTATAAGCTCTCGGGCAGAGTCCTTGTAAGCTTGGTGTGGAATGACGACGTGCCAAAGGAGGCTCGGAAACAGCCCTTTCTCAAGGCCAACTTTGCCCAGCAGGGACAGACCATCAAGGTGCCTGAGATACCTAACGTGGAGGATGATAAAGCCGGCCCATCAGCGGCACCGCAGGCTCACAAGGCTCCGGCGAAGGATGGAGATGGCTCTGGTAAGAAGATGCCGAAATGGCTGAAACTTGGGAAGAAATAGATCGCGAGAGCGAGTAAGTGAGCGAGCGGCTTAAAGTTTTTGGGTTCTCATTCGTATCCTAGGAGAATTTGGAGTGGATTGGCATCGTGTACATGTAATGGCGTTTTTCTCAGCTTTGTTTGATCAATATCGAAGAGGCACAAGCCATGTTGAGTATTGAATACAGATAGTACAAATTTAGACATATTCAGGCATTTCTACAACTACGGCGGTGTTGAATGGGCGGGCAATTGGTGATCTCAAGAGGAGGGAAAAAAAGGTATCTCAGTTGGATCAAAAAAGACGGCATATCTTGGAGAATGTAAAATTCTGACGGAATGTAAAAAACCCGCAGCTATATACCGTTGCTGCGCCGCCGCATAAAAGCCCAAATTGTGAATCAATCGAAAATTCATGACCCGCGCCGAATCCATGCGAAAAGTAAAATAAAACCCGTGCTTTGATTTCAGAAGAAAAAAAAAATGGTATTTTCAATTCTTTTTTATTTGCCATTACCGAAATTGTCCCTCTCTCTCCCATTTTTGCCTCGATTTTTTATAGATATAAAAATCGTTTAGTGAGCACGACGGGACTCGGCGATGACGCGCTGGAGCTCATCGACCTTTCTCTTGGCACGGCCAAAGGTACCGAGCCTCTTCTTGGCCAGCTTACGGGCACGCTTGTCCTTGCTGTTGCGGAGAAGTTCGATGACACGGCGCTCATAGGGAGCGAGGCTGTTGAAAAATTATACACGTTAGCAAACGATTCTTCCAATATTTTCAATGTCAAAGGACATGGTATATGTAAAACTCACCCAGCAACCTCCTTGACGACCTCACGCACAAAGGCGGTTCGCTTGCTCAGGTGTCCCTTGGTGCGGGAAACACGGGGCTTGACGACACGAGCGGTAGTCTTCTATAATCGGGTAACAAACCAAAAAACGTCAGTTTCAGCGTCCATCGTCTGCCAAAAAGGTAGAGGGCAGAGATCCTCCACGAGGTGAGATCGCGAGTTGACGTACGTGGCCCTTGTTCAGGCCAACGGCCAGACCGGTCTTTGCAGGCGCTTCCTTAGCCATCTCGAAAGAAATTGAATTGTCGATTTTTTTGACGGGATAGTGTAGAAAGGGAAAAAAAGAGAAATTTCGACAAAACTCCAGCGCTAATACGAAATTTCGTGTGTGGTCCCCTTCCGTGGGGATTTTTCCGGAGCGGAGGTTGTGGGTCACGTGCGAGAGGGTACGCGATAAGATAAGAAAGTTCGCAGTGTGGGTAACAGATTATGGGTGCTTGTTAGTATTGGAGAGTCCTCTACAAAAGACTGGGTCTTTTTCCCCGAATTGGAGTAGTAAGTAGCTTCAAGATACCGATTGTTTGATTACATTCAGCAGCAGCTTCTGGCTTGACTATGATATGCTATACTCGGTATAACAACTCCGATTAGTCGTTGCAGAGTATACAAGATGGACTGCTCAATTGACCAGCAAATGACGACAGCTCTGGAGATTCATTGGCGATTCAATTGCCAGAGTTGTTTTTTCTCGACTCGGTCCCCTTCTCGGGCTAATTGACCGAGAGTCTCTTCTTAGACTGAACTGCACCGCCGTAGTTCTGAGCATGTTCGAGTCAACTCTGCTTCGTACACATTCCAGAACGAGCTTATCGTGAAAAATGAACTCTCTTCAGACTTCTTCACGAGTCATGCCTAGCGGTTCTTGTTGAGAAGCTAAGCTTTCTGTAGCTTCTTCTTACAACCTGATTGCAAAATGGGGTAAACATGTTAATTGCTATCGGCTAACACGCCTTTTTTTTTTTTTTCCCGCTGCAGGAAGATGGCCGAAGCGAAGCGAGAAAGAAGCTGTGCAAAAATGCAACTTTGATCGTCAGAAAACGAGACATTTGATCCTGTCCTTTTGTCAGTTGTCGCCTACCTATGAGCAGATTCCCAAGTAAGCGGTCACGAGCTATTGACAGGCATGCGTAAGACGGAAGTGGTCTGTACCTACAGTACGTCTGTGTCTGTTTTACACCACGCAAAAAAAGTGACGACAGCACAGGATCCTTGCTCCGCCGTTTCTGCCCATTGTATTTTATTCCCATTGCAGCTATGTATTCGCAACCCGCAAAAAAAAAAAAGAAAAGAGCTCCAGCTTCTTCTCCATGAGCATTTCCCCCGCTTCCAATGCTCTTAGCTACAGTAGTGTCCCTGGACCCAGGTAAAACCCTTGCAGCAGCAGTCGTTCATTGTCCAGACCATAACGGCTGGTTTAGCCACAAGGGGAGAGTGGCCCTTGCTCTTCGCTATCATCCGCCATTGGCGAATTGCTCCAGCGCGGTGGATTAAGTCGTAATAGCGGCGACAAGGGCGCTTATTCGACATTATACTTGTACAAGACTGAATAGTGCAGTGCAAGACCGTGATGGCCTCGTACTCGTAGCTGCACGCAGCAGAAAAGAGGCAGTAATAGACGGAATCCCCATAAAATGGTGGATTGAGGGTACTATTCCCAAGTGCTACAAGTATTTCCTTGACTGTGTTATCCCCGACTCTCGCATTTGTCGTCAGATGGTGCTGCTCGCCATGAACCGTTTCCCCCTCTCTTGCAAAAGAACCACCTTCTCTGTTGGGACGATATGACGGCAGCCAAGGTGATTTTCATTTATTATACATACTACTGTAACCCGTCTTTCCCTATTATTTCATCAGAATAGTACGATTATGGAGTGCTTGTCAATGCCGTTTGGGTATGGCGAGTGGTGAATTAAGCTATGAGGCGCCGCCAGATCGGCCACGCGGTGACGCACGAAACAGGCACCGAAAGCCTATGCTGGCCGGCTCTGGGCACACGGCTTAGCGCAAGTTTGTACTGTAGGCGGTAAACGTCGACAACGACGATCCATTTAGCAGCTACTTCAGACGACGTAGGCCAGCAAGGTGCACACATTAGCACTAATGGATACCGAGATAGCATGCGCTCTCAGGCCTTTCAACCTGCCGCGAGGCCATTGATTGCAGCCAATTGCCCCATTTCCATATCAACGCACGTGTTGCGCATCCCCAGGGGTCATCAACTCGCCCCTGAAGACAAACGCCCATTGCAGCGCCCGTGACTTGCGGTCAGGTCGCTTCTCTGTCGCCGCTCCCCATCTGCGTCTCCCGCCAGATGCTCCTCGGATGGTGTGACCCTCTGCCTCCTCCACATCTTCTCTCTCTCTCATCTCATTCCCCACTGCGACAAAGCAAAAAACAAAAGTACAGACAGATACAACAACGCGCAGAAAAGAACATTGGAAACATCCCCCAATCCGACTCTGCACTAAAAACAGCACCAAAGCGCGGGGTGTCCCCGCTACGGGGGCCATAAAGAGGGGAGAAACAGAGGGGGGGCTGGAAAAGCAGCAGCAAAAAGACAGACCTGGAGGCTGTAGATGGCCCCAAAAAGCGCGCCTGTGGCTGCCTCTTAGCCTGCCGCAGTGCCGCTTTACCTAAGATAGGGCCCGCCTGCGACAGCCTCCCCCTTCTTTTCTGTATCAGTGAAGGAGAGGATACCTGGGTAAGGTATCTATCTATGAGAGAGATGCTAAGAGAAGAGGCAGTGAGAGCGAGAGAGAATGGAACCCCCCCCTCTTAATATACCTCAGCGCAGTTGACTCGTTGCTTTTGTTCTTCTTCTCTCCTTCTTTCTTTCTCTTGTTCCCTTTCCTTTCCTTTCCTTTCGTTGCTCCCATTTTCTTTTTTTGTCGCCTTGTTTTCGTTTCCCTGCTAGATTGGAATGATCAGAGCACGCGCGCTGGAGCTCCAAGTCATGACACCACGATAGTCAAAAAACACCCGCTACACCGACGTCATCAGCGCCCACCCCATACGACAGAGGCCAGAAACAGACAAAAGGCGCCCAGGATCAGAAAACTTGCCAACATTCCCAAATCAGGCTTCCGTTGTTTTGCCATCACATCCTTTGAAGCTGGGATTCCGGCGTTTAGAAAGAACAAACTGCAAGACCAAAAAAAATCGCCTCTATAAATCTGACATTTGCGCGCATAAAAGATACAATAGAGAGAGAGAGGTCACAAGAGGCAAATTAAAACACACAACACCAAGAACTGAGCAAACGTGCCTCTCACATCTCACACCATGTCGAACCTCCCCTCGCAGCATCCCACCCTCTCCCTGCACCTCACCGACCTCACCCTCATCCCGCTCATCACGTCGTCGTCGTCGCAAAGCCACCTCGAGTCCCTCACCAAACTCACCTCCAGCGCCATCACCTCCCAGACCACCGCCCAGCGCGCCAACCTCGGCCGCCCGCAGCGCATCATGGTCGAGTACCCGGACTCGGGCGCCGTCGTCCTGCAGTCCTATCTCGACCCCCGGGAATCCGGCGGTGGCGGCGCCGATCACATCTCCGAGCCGGACTCGTTTTCAAAATACAAGTACAAGGACGAGCACTCGCACGAGCACATGGCCGACGACGATGACAGCAGCAGCAGCACTCGCACGCCTGACACGGCACGACCCGCTACCGCTGACGACTCCGTGGCGCCCACGTTGATCAGCGTCGTCGTCGCTGCCACATCGGACGATGCGAAAGAGGCGAGGCGCGCTGCGGCGAGGCTGGAGCGTATTGGTCGAGAGTTTCAGAGGGAGTGGACGGCGCAGGGGCTGGAGCAAGATGCTGATGGGGGGAGCAGCAACCACGAGTGACCTTGAACAAATTAAAAAAAGAAAACAAAACAAAGAAAAGAAATGACTCGAAAGAAAGCATCATCGAGTGGGCATACTGCGGCCATACAACGCCCAGCGTCCCCATTCGAAAAGCTTCGACGGCCGAACCAGGCGGCGTCGTGGCTTTAGACGGCACACAGAATGATGAATGGAAACGGAAACGAAACAAGAGGCACCTTGAGCGATATAATACAGGAAAGCAGCATTTTTTGTTAGAGCGAGGCGCATAAAGATGAGCATACACAAGCTAATGAGAAGAACTGGTACTAGTAGCCTGTTTTTTTCTTTTCTTCTTCTTTTTTGTTTATCCCCTTTTTACCGTCGCACAGAATCAGCTGGAGGGGGGTGGGTAATACAATGCAAAAGAACTTGAAGTTGGCATGTTGGCTCTAATGGCGTTTAAAAAGAAAGCGTCTGTATAATTTGGTGGACCAAGTCTTTTATTTTAGCTCTCAAGATCATAAGTTTTTTTTTTTTTGACTTCATGTTAAATCTCAATTTTCCTTTTTCTTTTTTTTTTTAATATTCATCTATTGTTTTTATTTTACTGTATTAAAGAATAAGAAAATAAATAAAACTTCAACATTTCCTATACTCCCATGCCCAGAGTCGTCACTACGTGAAATCATGTGCTTGCTGTACAACAAGCATCATTTCTTTTCAGGGGTTTTTTTTTTTTTTTTTTTTTGGTGTCCTATTTCATGTAACCATTTTTTATATTCTGCAAGATCAAACCCTTTATTTACGGTCTTTTCCCTCAGATGTTTAAATTTAGATGAGCTGCTGGAAAGCACGGTTGATGGGGGATCGAACGTTGGGGACGTCCTTCCAGAAGTCGATGGTAAGGAGAGCGCGCTTGGCGATGCCCTCGGGGGTGAACTCGAACTTCTACAGCCAATGGGTTAGCAAACTATCCTTTTTTTCTCCTCTTCTTCTTCTTTCGTATAAAACCATGCTTGAAACGCACCTTGTAGACATCCTTGTAGGCACCAGAGGCACCGAATCGGTTGAGACCAAACTGCTCGTGAGTATATCTCTCCCAGCCCATGGTGCTCATGACCTCAATAGACAGAGAGGGAATGCCGTCGGGCAGGACAGAGAGTCTGTACTCCTTGGACTGGGTGTCAAAGACCTCGAAGCAAGGCATGGAGACAATTCGGGCCTTGACGTTGTGCTTCTCCAGGAGCAGCTTGGCGGCATCCACTGCGATGCCAACCTCGGAACCGGTGGAGACCAGGGTGACCTGGGCACCCTCGACCTCCTGCAGGACGTAACCGCCCTTGATGGACTTCTCGATGACTGAGCCCTCGAGCTGGGGCAGGTTCTGTCGGGAGAGGGCAATAATGCTGGGGGTGTGCTTGGAGGTCAGCGCAATGTAGTAGGCGGCGCTGGTCTCGTTGCCGTCAGCGGGGCGCCAGACCATGCAGTTGGGCAGAGCACGGAAGTGAGCCAGAGTCTCGATAGGCTGGTGAGTAGGGCCGTCCTCGCCCAGACCGATGGAGTCGTGGGTGGCAACCCAGATGGCGCGGATGCGAGACAGGGCAGACAGGCGGACGGCACCGGCAGCGTAGGAGACAAAGTTGAGGAAAGTACCACCGTAGGGAATGATGGTTCCGTAGGCGGCCAGACCGTTCATGATGGCACCCATACCGTGCTCACGGACACCGTAGCGGATGTATCGTCCGGAGTAGTCACCGAGGCCGGTGGCCTTGGGCTGGAAGTCAACAGCCTCCTTCCAGCGGGTAAGGTTGGAGCCAGTCAGATCGGCAGATCCACCGACAAGCTCGGGCAGGATACCCTCGAGCTTGCTGAGAACAGTCTCGGACAGCTTTCGGCTGGCAATGGCGGCGTCGCCGGGGGTGTAGACGGGCAGGTGCTTCTCCCAGTCCTGGGGCAGCTCGCCCTTCAGGCGGCGCTCAAGGTCAGCAGCCTCTGAGGGGTACTCCTTGGCGTACTTGGCGAACAGCTTGTTCCACTCCTCCTCGCGGGCAGCGCCCTCGGCAGAGTGTCTGGCGTACAGGTCGGAGACCTCCTTGGGGACGACAAAGGTCTCCTCGGGGTTGAAGCCGAACTTGGTCTTGAGCTGCTTGATGTCGTCGGCCTTGAGGGGAGAGCCGTGAACACCGTGGGTGCCCTCCTGGAGGGAGCCGAAACCAATGGTGGTTCGCAGCTTGATGATTGAGGGCTTGTCCTTGACAGCCTGGCACTGCTTGATGGCGTCTTCCATGGCCTGGAGGTCGTGGTCGCCGTTTTCGACGACGACGACGTGCCAGCCGTAAGCCTCGTAGCGCTTGGCAACATCCTCAGTGAAGGCGACGTTGGTGTCACCGTCAATGGAAATGTGGTTGTCGTCGTAGATGGCGATGAGGTTGCCCAGCTGGAGGTGGCCAGCCAGGGAGCAGGCCTCGCCGGAAACACCCTCCATCAAGCAGCCATCGCCGAGGAAGCAGTAGGTGTAGTTGTCAGTGAGAGTGAAGCCGGGCTTGTTGAAGACGGCGGCGGTGTGGGCCTGGGCCATGGCCAAGCCGACGGCATTGCAGATACCCTGACCCAGAGGGCCGGTGGTGACCTCGATACCGGGGGTATCGTGAGACTCGGGGTGGCCAGGAGTGATGCTGTCAACAGTCTGCAGGTGGGATTGAGTTAGCGCCGCTACGTCAGTTCCAACCCCTTGTTGTGCTCATGGCCAACGGGCTTCGTCCCCTCTCTTGCCTCTCCCATTTCTGCAGCGGACTCTAGAAAACTTACTCGGAAAGCCTTGAGGTCATCGATGGTCAGGGCATAGCCGAACAGGTGGAGGAGCGCATACTGGAGCATGCAGCCGTGGCCGTTGCTGGATTGGGCAGAAACGCGTGTCAGTCTCACGATTTTGCGCGGGGTTTTTCTTCCCGGGTTGTTGGGCAACGGCACTTACGAGAGGACGAATCGGTCGCGGTTCAGCCACTTGGGGTTCTTGGGGTTGAACTTCATGAACTTGTCCCAGAGAACGTGGGCAATGGGAGCCATGCCCCTGCAGAGTCCGGCGTTAGCAGCAAACCTTGGGCGGGAACGGCGGGTGCGGCGGCAGCGCGCATCGCCGGGCGTCGTGGACAAACTCACATGGGAGCACCGGGATGTCCCGAGTTGCTCTTGAAGGTCGCATCAACCTGTCATGGCAATTCCCGTCAGTCAATTGCGCTCATTGCGTGTTGCCGTGGCTGGCTGCGCATTGCCCGCTCTTCACAGCCACGTCTGTCGCTGGCTGCTCGCTCCTCCATTGTCGCGTAGCTGGAGCTGCCATGGAGGGGCAATGGCGGGGTAGCAGGAAGTGGGAGAAAACATACCGCAAGCAGGCGGATGGTGTTGATGGCCTTCTGGTCAACCTCTGTGTAGCCCATGATTGCGAATTGCGTGCGCTAGAAGAAGAAAATAAGGGGGGGTATCAAGAATAGCTGAGATGGATGGAGAAGAGAGACGGAGCAGACGGAGGGGGAGGCAGCAATATAAAGCACCTGGTGTTGCTGAACGCAGGAACCTTTTTTTTTTCTGTTGAGGGGTTAACGTTTATGTCACGGCTTAGGGAGCATTAGCCAACAAACCCACCGGCCTGCCCACTTTACCGCTGGCGCTGGAGCCTCTAGCATCTCAATGACCGCTACAACCTTGATCCAAGCTGCCTGCGCGCCTCTATCGGCCCCTCTGCAGCTTCGCCCGTCCACCCGTGGCCCCTCCATCAGCCACTCTGAAGCGGCTACTGGAGCCCCGGGGGTTCGCGGCCAGGCTGCGGCAAATGGCAGACGGAGCGCAAGTTCCAGCGGGGGCCAGTGTCCGCTACTGTGAGCCCGCAGCCCTGCTGTTTGGAGCCGAGTTTCGCCCCTGCTGGGTGGTCAAGCGTCTGGTGTGTGTATACTAGAGACAGCTAAGAACAGCACGGCGGATGCAAGGCTCGCCTCCGTATCACGCGTATGCGTGTTTATTCTGCATTGCAGGCCGATTACGAATTGCAGGGCGGCTCAATCCGCAGCCATTACTAACTGCAATTAAACCCTCCGATAATTGGAATGAGCGCGGCCGAGGCATCTCTTTTCTGCATCTCTATATCAGGCCACTTCAAGGACCTCTTCTAGGTAAACGCATGTACCTGTTAGTCCTAATGCCTATATTCTCGTTGATTCTTCGTCTACAGTTACATTTTTAAAAACGGGCCTTCTCCTCTTCTTTTCCTTCTTTTTCGCCTTTGACACTGGCGATCCCTCACGTTGCCTCTTAATTTCCACTTTGCCGGCAACAGATCGATCTGCTACTTGACGCAATGCTATCCACCCCATTCCTATGCCTAAGTATATATAATAAGCGGAGACTCTGAAAAAAACGGCCTGAGTTGGTGACCTCTCTTCTCTTACTATACAGCGCACGGCTTCCTGGATTCGGATACTCCGTTTCGGCCCGGCCTGTGACGTAGCTCCCTTGGCCCTTCTGAAGTGTTGCTCTCTTATCCTTCCATATGGCTGGCACAGTATACCAATAGTTGGCAGCCCAATTCAAACAAGCCATCAAATATGATAGTATTACACTATAAATACAGCCTGGAAACTCCCGAGCATGCCGCAGCTCTTTCAGGTAGGTCGACAGGCTGCCAACTCACACGGGCCTGAGTCGCCCCCCCATCCTGCCATTTCATAAGCAGGCCCCGGAAGTTTCCTAAGCAGCGCATGGAACAATCTCACCCCCAATCAAGCGGGTCGAGACTCAATCACCTTGGATGGCCGGGAAAGGTGCCCCGAAAATTGAGACGGCGCCGGCCGGATCGTGGGCTGAAGTTTAAAGACGAGAGAGAGAAAACAGGGCACTTTAGGCTATTATCGCCTGTCGGACCAATCATGGCGCAATAAGCAAACACGACGCCAGAGTGAAGCATTGAGTTGAGTAGGTTTATTACTGCAGAGAAGTGAATCTTCAGCTACCTACGTATGTCTCAATGTGTTTACTTGTAGAGTTTACTCCTTTCAACTGTTGGAAAGACATTTGACACTATGTATACTTTATTAAGAGAGTAGAAAGTCCAAGCCACCGATAGCTCTCAACTGAAGCGCAACAGCGCTACGTATCTGTATACATGTACCCACTTTCAAGAATGCCACTCAATTTTTCATCACCCATAGGAAACACCATTGTAAGCCTCAAGATATATCAAGTTAAAAACACATCACAAAAACCTACAAAATGGTGAAAAAACAACAGCCAAAGAAAACAGCCTCCAAAAAGCAACCAGCAGCAGCATCATCATCAACATCCACTCCTCTCCCACCCATCGACCCCGAAACCCTCACAAACCAGCAGCGGATCCTCACCACCTTCTCAGACGCCTTCAACCCCATCCTCTCGGCAGACTCCTTCGCAGCCACCCTCCAGTCCATCAAGCAGTCCCTATTCAACAGAGACTTTGAGGCTGCGTTCGGCTCCGAGGAGAACCTCCAGGCATACGCCGCACGATGGAGTCCCACCAGGGCGCTGTGCTACTCGTCCATCTTTGAGACCATTGCTTCGCACGTTGATGACATTGCTGCTGTCCCGGACTCTTCTGCCGATGAGGCATCCTACCATAACAGCACTGCTGTCAAGAAATTCCTCTGCATAGGTGGCTGCGCGGCCGAACACATCGCCTTTGCGTCTCACCTCCAGCAAACCGCCTCCAACGGCATCCTCACTCTCCTCGACGCCGGCCCCTGGGGTCAAGTCGTCGACCTCCTCCAAAAGCAAGCCACTTCACCCCCAACTCTGTCCAAGTATGCCTCCGCAGCTATCAAAGCCGCAAACACGCCCCTTCTCCAAGACGGACAGCTCTCCACCACCTTCTCCCAGAATGACGTCCTGGCCATGGATAAAGAGGCCCTCAAGGAGCTGCTCGGCTCAGAACCCCTTACCGTGACCCTCATGTTTACGCTCAACGAGCTGTACACCAATGGGGGCATCGGCAAGACAACAAAGTTCCTAAAACTGCTGGGCGAGATACTCCCGGATAGAAGCCTGCTCCTCGTGGTGGACAGTCCGGGCAGCTACTCGGAAGCCGCCGTGGGCAAGGACAAGAAGCGGTACCCCATGCAGTGGCTCTTGGACCACACTCTCATGGATGTTCGGGCTGCATCCAAGGACTATGAGTGGGAAAAGCTGGATTCTCATGATTCGATATGGTTTCGGCTTCCGGAAGAGCTCTCCTACCCGATCCAATTGGAGAATATGCGCTACCAGATGCATTTGTATCAGAAAAAGAGCACGTTTACGGCTGCATGAACGCCACCAAGGGACGATTTGGAAAGAATTAGGTCGATAAAAGCTATTTTGGAAATGCCGTGTACATGTGGAGCCCATACAGGCTTCTCTAGGGATATTTGTCTATGCCCACACCAACTTCTTCAGCGAATGGCCCAGCTGCTCCAACAACCCGGTGCTGCGCTTCGCAGCGTCTAGCGATATAATATCGCCCTTTTCCACCAGCTTCTTCCGCTCCTCTCCCTCCTTGACCAGTTGCCGTTCGGCCGCTAGACGCTCAATCTCTGAGCATATGGTGTCGATTTTCTGTAGCTCCGTCTGCCGTGGCCCAGCTTCGCTGACTGGCAATGAAGAATCCGTCGTATACGGCGCCTTGAATGCAAGTTTTCGGATTGCAGGCTCCTTTGGGCCGTTGGCTCCAGAGAAAAGCCCCGCAAAGCTGGTCGGTGCCGCTGGGATCTCGCCGGTAGCTGTCAGCTTTGGAGCGTCCCTGGTGGACATTGTGCGGGTGTTTCTCCTCCGGACATCGCTTTTGCCAGGCTGGTATGACACCACGAAACCCACGTTCCTCGTCTCGCTCATGTGAGCCTGCGAAATTGTGGAGGTGATGTAAGCACCCGTTTTGATATTCGTTATGCTCGCAAGGGTAACTCTTTCAAAAGAAGACACCTTGTCCAGATCCCAGTCAAAGCGGCAGAGGTATATCGCAGCATCGGTCAGAAGAAGGACAACTTCTTCCATTGGCCACGATTTGAGCGCATTGGCAGTATTGGGTGTTATCAGCACCCAGCCGCCGTGGAACTCTTCACTGACATCTGCCACCACTCGCTTCTGACACAGTTCCACGGCGCGCTCGCGCATCCTTTCCACGGAAACGGCTGGATCCTTTGTCATCATGTCGATTTCAAATTCCTCAAACACTTTAGCTGTTACGTTGCCGAGTAAAAAGTCTATGGCAGCCTGGCTAAAGTAGTCGTTGACCATGCTAAAACAAAGAGAGTAAAATAGCATTAGCTTTCGCCTTTAAACTATGGCTGGGAGAGGGGGTCTGAAAAGGGATGTAGAAGGGGTAGGAAATTGAAAATCTTACCCAGAATAAAGACGTGTTAGAGATATTCCAAGGTCATTAAGTGCCCCCCTGTAATCCCTCTTTCTTGTCCTCGTGTAATCACCTTTCATAGCGGAAGTAGAGGCGTATTGTTTCGAAACGGCATCGCCATTATCTGCCCAGAGGGTATTGAACCAGGCCGTCTCTTGGTCCAGTTGAGCGCTCATGTCTATACCTTGTTCTTTGAGCTGAACTTCTAGCATGTGTTTTGCAAACGAGCTCTGGCAGACATTTGTTCGATCCAGACAGTCCATACAATTCGTTCGAAGAACCCCTTGTTGTTTGCGGACCAGCTCTCCATTGCTTCGCACCGTGCTGCCAAGTGTCTCTAGCTGGTCCTTCAAGCGCGAGAGCAGGTGGCTCACGTTTTCAAACTTCATACCACGGCAAACATGGTGAAAGTCAAACCACTCAAAGGGTATCTTTGCTTTCTCGTCGAGCCCGTCGTTGATGCGGCCAACCGTATTTTGGTACTGCGTTCCAATTGGCTCTTCGATTCCGTGTTTTTCCACCAGATTAACTATCTGTAGCGTACCGTAGGATTTTAATAGCCTTTCAAAATGCTGCTTGGCGGCGTTGTAGTTTGTTTCCTCAGAGTGCTGCAAGACTGGCACTGGCTTCAGTGCGTACGCGGTCTGAGTAAAGAATAGTGGAATACTGCCTCTAATCTGAGTAAACGAGTACAGTGGGGAAGAAGCTTCCCATGCAGGAGACGACAGGATTTGTTCGGTTTCGACAAAATTTGCTGTATACCCGTCTTCATCTATGCCGCGTCTAAGATATCGAAGGCCAGCCCTCTTAGTTGACCGTCGCGATATCAATGTGATGAGATACTTTCTCTCGGTAAGACGCAGCTCTAGAGAATGTCTTGCTGTCTCTGGAGATGGCGACGACGGCCCAGATGGTGTCGGCGAGAGATCAGCCAGCTCCATGGATTCCGCTCCTGGGTCATCTACCTGGGGAGGATGTGAGTCTGCCACAAACGTCCTCTGGCCGACAAAGCCCTGCATCAAGGGCAAGGCCAAGGCATCCTGGCCAGCTTCTATGAAAGGCTGGACAATGTGCCGATTCCAAAAGAATGTACTCTTGACTTGCGTGTAGAGAGAATCGTTGGGGTTGGCAATCGCCGCTTCATCACTCGGGCTGCGCGTTATATCTAGGTCGTACGAAAAGTAAAAGCTACGCGAGGATCCAAACCAGACTTGGATAGTTCGAAGCAACTTTGGTAGAAGTGCGGAAGCTGGGATCAAGTGATTCTCATCCGTCTCTTGCAGGGCGGCAAGATTAACCACTGGCGTTGGCGATGCTGATTGCGCAAGGGGTGGCGTAGAAGTCGGCGAGTTGCTCATTCCCATAGTCCTTCTCTGGTCAGAAGTCCATCCACTCCGGCTAAACCAGCGCTGCGCAAATCTCCCATAACTGCCTCGCCTCCGGATCACGTCTTCGGCAACACTGCTCACACTGCTCCTGGGATCCGCAGGGACGTGCTTTTTGCCGAGAATTTCATCGTCCGCCTCTTCGTCTGGGGTCGCTATAGCGATTTCGCCCTCTTCATCACTGCTGCTCTCAGCGTCATCATTCACGTTAGTGGGCACCTCTGTGCGCAAAAGACTTGCCGTCTTCCGCACAGATTCCTCCGCATCAGCCTGCGCCGAGCATGGGGTCACGGCTACTTGAGTGACGACATAGATGGGTAGTCCAAACACCTGAGCGACTTGCTCTCGGCGCGTAATCGTTACCAAATACGTCAATCGCGATACCGTGATCAGTCCTGAGAGCTATTTAACATGATGGTATAGTAACAGGGCCTTTCCCTGAGCTCACCAATAACGCCGAGCGCTTCAAACCACGAGTCGGACTTTGCCGAGTCTGGGACCTGGTCGCGCGCCGCAGACGAGATGGATGCGTCTCCATACTTGATCCTCGCAGGCTGGAAAGGCTTTTGCCCTTTAGAAGACAATGGCTGGATAATGAGGCCGTCGACAGCGGCGAAAATCAACACTTTGCGTGCGAGGCCGGGCATGATGTGCGGGGTCTGCGGTCCCGGTTTACCGGCGCAAGAGATGGCGAGAATTGCTGCAGAAAACGGGATTTAGGAAAAAGTCATGAGCCGCGGCTCGTGACTACAGCGACATTGAGGTGGCCATTAAAGGTGGTGATGTTGAATCAGGGCGAAATCAAATTATACTCGTAGTGGCCGGTGTTGAGTGGAAGTGCAATGCGCCTGCGCCAGGGGCGACCTCAACGTCATCAATTACATCCGTTAGCGGTCACCCCTGGTAGCTTAGTGCTGGTAGTGAGCAAGCAGTGCCGGATGATGGCAGCGTGGATGCGCCATCTAGCCACGGCTGAGTGAACAATAGAGGGTCCGGTCTCCATATAGAGGAGCATGTAGTGTATATTGCCTAGCAGTTATCACCTGCGAGATATTGGACTCAAGGCCATGATATACTGCTATTATTTCCGCCGGTAATAGAAGGCAAGGCGTGTTGACAGCCAGCCAGCCATTAATGGCCATGGCAGCTAAAAGCTTCTTTTTGGCGCTGTGCTAGCAAAGCCAAACACGTTGGCCGGCATCCAAGGGTCACAGGGCGATTTAGCTCCGGTCCTTTGTTTGCCTTTATAGATAGTTGAGGTTGCTTATTAAAGCCACCCCTTGATTAGACGCATCGTATGTCAATTGTCTTTTGAAATAGCAGTCATTGAGCTTTGGCCGCAACGTGATGGCTAGCTACCCTGAAGCTGCATCAATGAGGCCATATTTTGGACGGGTACACTGATATCATATATCACTCCGCGGATGACTCAAAGAGGTGGAATACACCCCATCCCAATTGGTGGCCATCTGCACAAACCACACGTCAAGCTACAGCCTGCATCGGTATCAAAAGGCGTCATCTGTGCATTTCGTACAAAGGAAGATTCGGTGCACAGCAATTGGTGCAACGGTTGGCCAATGGGCACAGGCCCACACGGACATATCCCAAGGCAACAAGCGAGCAATATCGTCGAGCATCGCTGGATCAATCGATGCAGAAACACCTCGTGGGGTACGACGCGAAGCCCAAATTAGCTGCCGACCTGCCTAGGTACGAGGCCGCCCAGCCATTGGCATCCATCGGCAGACAGAGACAGGCAGCAATGCATCCCCAGAAGGAGTCGGACGCAGTCGGCATTTGCGGGCTGCCGGCCAACTAGACAGACGCGGTTGATGCCACCTGTGGAGCATCTGCCCAGCATCATCTGCAGATTGCACGGCGTCAATTGCATAAGCAGGCCAGTGAGGGGTCGCGAGACGACATGATCCGACCAGAAATCGCCTACCTGGTACGCAGCGCTGATTCACCCGCATGCATCCGTGCCTGGCCGCAACTCGCCTGTGGGCATGGCGAACAGGGCGTGATGCTGGTGGTTGACGTGGTTTCTGCTGTGCTTTGGCCCTTGCCTGGCCGACAGCACCGTGGACGGCGGAGGAGGCTCTAACTGGCCGACATGGGGGATGGCTGCAGATTGAGCTGCGATCGCCCATTTGACAGATCTGCTTAGGTAGCGGCGGATGGTTGCTGGCACTGGAACGGCTTTCGTGACGGAGGGACGCTGTGAGAAGCTGCATGGGGGGGCTGCAACCCAAAGGTTCGGCCGCGTACAGGGCCAGGTACCCTTTGGTAGCGTGCAGCAGAGCTTGGGGCGGTGATCAGTGGCCCAGATTGGCGAATGCGCGACCTGGGAGCAGCGCTCAGCCTTATCCGGCGGTACGTGGCCGGTACATGGGACGACAGCTGGACGGAGCTTTGCCTAGCCTGGAATGACGATTGAAAGGGGGCCCTGCTGCAGCCCGCGCAAGTCACTGCGCACGCAGCGCTGTGGGCAAAGCTACACACCTACAGTACTAGGCCAGGTAGCTGCGCTGGGAGGGGGCGGCGGGCCTGGATTGGGCTAAGCGGCCACCACCTCACCTCACCTCTTCACAGGCCGGCACCAAACACTTTTTCTAGGGCCCGGCGTCAAATCTTGTGCTCTCTGTCCTTGGAAACCACCATCGCCGTTGCTCATCGCCCGCCAACCCGACCCTCTGCATCATCAACGAGGTGCGCGAGGACCGCCTCCCGCTTTCTTCTCTTCTCAGTCTCTTCTTTGGCCCCCCCTTGATTGCCCCTCTGGCTGCACGGTCCGGGCTGCTGGCTCGTCGACAAAGCCTGCTTCTTGTTTCTTTGCCTTTCTCTTCGTGTCTAGCACCGCAGGACGGGTTGGGCTCCTCACTCGTCCACGTCTGGGCCCTTTGTTTCCCCCTTGCCGCTGAATCTTGTCCTGCCTTCCATCCATCATCCTGCGTCTCTGCTGCTGCATGGTCTCTCTGATCTGCCACTCGCCCTCCTCCGTCCCCGACGAGCCCCATTCGTCTGCCGTCTAATCGCCTCTGCTCAAGCCGCCAGAAACCAAGATCCACCATGGCCGCTGCTCCCCGGCGTAGAAAGCTCATCGGCCAACGACGCCGAGTCGAGGACGAGGGCGACGAAGAGGGCCGTCCGGAGGCGTTGGAACTCGACGACGACTCCCTGACTGAAGGCTCCGCCGTCTCGGACGACCACGATGGCGCTGACGATAGCGACACCAGCAACATCGATGAGGTGTCGCCCACCTCGCCCAACGCACGCAAGTCCGCCAACGGGTCCGCAAAGGGGGCTGGCCACAGGGCCGCCAAGGCTGCCGCTCAGGGGGGTGGGAAGAAGTCTGTGTCGGACACGGAGCTGACGCTTCACGGGCTGTCCATTGCGGATCAACCGGACTCTGACTCTGCACAAGAGGCACCGGTGGACGAGGTCTCGGTCTCGTCACCCAAGTCGCCCTCTGCCCCCGTCATCGTCAGCTCCTCGTCTACCGCGCGGCCTCAACAGGGCAATCGACGTCGACAGGAACACGAAGATTACAAGCGTCGGAGGGACGAGGATCCGGCCTTTGTGCCCAACCGGGGGTCGTTCTTCATGCACGACCATCGGCATCCGGGACCGGCTGCGAATGGGTTCAGGCCGTTTGGGAGAGGCCGAGGCAGAGGTGGCGGCCGAGGTGGCGTGGGGGGACCGTATTCCCCAGCCAAGTAAGTGAAATCCATCTCCGTTGTTGTTGTTGTTGCTGTCATTTTCCCTATTGTCACTTCTTGACCCCTCCCCCCTTTCTTCATGTGAGCTCTTCTTCTAACGTCGTTGATAGCCAGCTACACCACCCCGCCGACCCTACTACAAACTCCCAATGGACGCACGACATGCACGAGACTGTCGCAGACGTGATTCCACGTCGCCCCCGGCAGCCGCCTCAAGAAGAGGGACCGCCCAACGGCACTGGTTTCATCCCGACGTGCGAGCCCAGTGCTACTCCGATTAATAGGACCCTATCGACTGAGAAACATATCGGCAATGCCCAAGTTCGGGTCATCCTGCCGGAGACGACGACCCCCAAGGTCTTTCCCGGCATTCCTGTCAAGCAATACACAAAACTCCCTGACCATCGCCCGCCTCTGCGCAGGGACAAGCCAGTGCGCATCTCGTTGCCAAACCACCCCCCGCGATACATATTTCCTGCCCCGGATCGATCATTCACATTCATTCCCCGCGCGCTACGACCCAACCAGCAGCGACTTCGAGGTAGACCTCGTTCCTCCTGGGGCTCCGTCGGCGGCTTTTCTAGGAGAACGAGCTTGTTTGGCAGCTACTATGGCGGAAGTATCTATTCCCCTAGTGTTGCTGTCAGCAGGCGTTCATCCATCGTATTGCACGATAGAGACGGCGTTTTTTCGCCCACCGGATCCATCATCTCTCGCCCTGCGCTTCAGACTGATAACAGGCCTGTAGTCCGCCTTCCTCCGGCCCCGCAAACATTCGTCCCCGCTATGGGAGTGGAGGAACCGGCAGGCCCGTCTCAATTCATGGTAGGTGGGCAGGAGACATCTATCGGAGATATCCCCCAACCGCAATCGTACCCTCTTCCACAGAGGCCCAACTTCCAGGAGAATTTCCCGTCTTCAATCCCTATGCACCAGCCTCGCCCCCAGAAGAACATCTCCGTCGCGGATATAGAATCTCCTACCATGACGCAGAATGCCTCAGCCTTCCAGCAGGCCTTCCATCAGCAAGTTCCCCCGCAGATGGCAAACGGATACCAGGATTCGCACGCACGTCGTCCTTCGTATCCGACTCATGTCTCGACGGGCACCCCACTGTCCCAGATTCCGGAGCGAGCCATACATGCGGCGCCCTTCCAGCCTCAGCCCAATGCGTATGGCCAGCCCGCTTTCTATGGCCAGCAGCAGCCGTATCAACCACATCTTCAGCAGGCATACTACTATCCTCACGGCTACTCTGGTCCTAGCATGCCCGCCTCTGCCGTCACTGCACCCCCGTTTGTCCCTCAAGGGCAGACGGGCATGGCAGGAAGCTTTACGCCCCAGAATCAGGTTGAACAGGCCGCTGTCGGCATGGCAGGGCCACCCACAAACCTCGTGGCCCAAGAGGCCAATGGTATGGTTTACTATTATGATGCTTCTCAGCTACCTTCGGTAAACCCTTACCAACCGTACCCTGCCTCGCAACCGTATCAACCCAGCGTAATGGGCATGGGCGGCATGGTGACGCCCAGTCCTGACGGCTTCTACTATCCCCAGCCTGCGCCGGGCATGGTCTACTACTCACAATAGGCTTGTGGGTTATGTGGCGGATTTTGCGGTGGATATTGTGGCGGGCAGCTCTTCATGCCTTCATGGTGATCAACTTCTCATCGCATATTGCATACCAACTTTAATATCATCATCACGGCCCTCTCAACATCTCACTCATTCTCATGCAATGGTTCTTTTCTCTCTTCTTGTTTTTTTTTTTCCTTTATGGTGTCATGGGTTGGGTCTCCACGTATCATTCATATCCCCTTTTCGTGGCTGGGTGGTTCGAGTGCTCAAAATCATGATTTCTTCTTGTCTTATCTTCGCGGTTCATGTTTTTTTTTTTTTTTTTTTTTTTTTTTTTTTTTTTTTTTCAAACGTATTGTTATTGATCATTTTCGAATTATGGATTCTGGATTGGCCAGTTGGGAACTCCAAGAATACCTGGTGTGCGCGCCTTTTTCTTGTCGGTTCCGGATTTTCTCATTGAAAAATAAATCTCAAAGGTTGGAGGGTTCTTCATGTTGTCGACTGTTGTGGCCGTCACAATCATTGTTATCTGTGCCGTGGGCAGTCGGTGACCATATGCTATGGTTGATAGGAAGATGGGAAAATATTTTTGATGGGATGCTTCTTTATTGTCTTTTGTCTTTTTTTGGTCTTGAGCGAAGGGGAGAGAAATGCATTAGTAGCTGAGAGCGGATCATGAAAGCGATGCTGCAGCAGCTTCTCTTTGCTCAGTTTTCTTTTATTTGTTCCTGTTACCTAGTTTGGGATGTCTTGTTCGGCTGCGTGCGTCAGTATGTGTGCCCGTGTGTTCATTGTGCTGTTTCCATGGCAGCGGCGTTTCAAGTGGTGTTTTTGGAGGCATTGTGTAGTAGCTTATTATTTTACTCATTAAATCTGCTGGGAAAATGGAGTTGAATTATGTGGAGTATTCATGGTGTGTCTACCTCCTTTCTTCTATCCTTGAAACTTCATTTGCATACATCTTTTATTTCTACGAGCGAGTAACTGGGTTCTGCATTTATCATTACAGGCCAATGCATTGGCGAAACGACATAAAAAAAGGGGGCTTGCATTTGAAAAAAGTTATGCTTCATGTATTGTAAGGACAAATTCACCTCTTATAACAAGGCGTATTTGGTGTAACAATCTGATGCTATCCGAGCTGAGCTGAGTAGTACCTTGTTCCCGTGACAAAGTTTTTTGAATGAGGGTCTCTGGCTTGTTGTTTTGTTCAACCTATTGTTACATACATGTAGTCTGCACTGATCAACTACATGCTAGAGTGGAAACTGAAGCATGTATTTAGGTCTGCCACTCTTAAATTTAACTTGAGAATGAACTCTATGGAGAGTACACATTGTCTATCATATGTCAGAGAGGGGTTTCTTGTTGTGATGCACAGCATACCCAGTGTACCACCAATGGTAGCGATACAAGCACGCTTTGCCTGTTCGCTTAACCGAGAACATGTAGGACGGTTCGATTTAGAGCTGTCACAAAGTCTTGCATAATATGGAGCTGATGCTACCCTGAAAATTGATTAATGTGTGCCACGAGATGCTAGGCTACACAGATAAAGTTATGATACAGTATCATTGTGACTAGGATTATTCTAGGCAGAGAGCTTGAGCTGAGAGGTGGAGCGTAATGGCATGTTTCTATCTATACCGCATTGACAAGCCCTAGGAAGCATAAATGCATTCATGAGATGGGAGTTTACACGGCTGGAAACCGTAGCACCCAATTGATTGGGTCCAGCCAGCTGCATTCACTTACGCTTGGTCAATAGAGTGAATCAGGCACCCCCCCCCTTAGCCAGCTGCATTGACCTGCATGTGAGTCGACAGTGAATTTTTTGCATTCAATAGCCCCAGTTATTCACATTTACCATTGACTAGGTAGTCTATAGGGCCAGTTTCATGAACTATCAAGATATATTGAAGCCCCTCTGTCATGAGCCGGGTTCCAGCAACTTGACTCAACTTACTTACCAACGCCATCATCAAGCCCCCCCCAGTCAGTAACTCGAGCTGTTCGTTCTGTTTTCATCTTGTACCCATCATCTCACTAACTGAACTGGACAAAGACAACAATGGAGGAAGCACCTATCAGTGATGAAGCGGCCGCGCAGGTCGGAAGCGAAAGTCTATACGCCATCCAAGCCGTTCCTGGCAAGGGAATTAGCCTCATCGCCACCACGAAGATCCTCAAGGGCGCTCGTATCCTTTCTGAGCTTCCTATTTTCAAGGTCTCGTATGCAGAAAGCAACCGTCAGGTTCTCGCCAATCATATTGCCAACAAGCTGAAGGACCTAGACGAGGCTAAACAACGAGGATTTCTGCATCTTCAGAATGTCTACGGCCTCGATGATGGCCTTTTCCTTGGGATTGCCAGGTCTAATGTGAGCCCCTTGGGCCCTGGAGCCTCCGAAGGTGGTCTCTTCCTCGACGCAGCTCGCATCAATCACTCTTGTCGACCCAATGCGCATAAAAGCTGGAACGAGAATCTTCAGCGCCTCACGGTCCACGCAGTCCGTGATATCGAACGAGGACAGGAGATTACCATTTCATACCTGGGCGAAACGTTGAGTTATATCGAGCGCCAAGCGATCCTGAAACAACGTTTCCGTTTTGATTGCGGATGTGATCTCTGCTCGGCGACGCAGTTCCAACGCTTAAAGAGCGACAGCAGGATTCGAACGATTCAACAGGCTCACGCCATCCTCATCTGGTACAAAGGCGGAGCTTTCATGCTCGACTACGAAGATGCGCTTACTCTCACGCGCGGCATGCTAACGGCATTCGAAAAGGAGGGCGCCTGCGATGTTCGCTTCCCGAGCGTGTACCTGACCGCATTTCAGGTAGCGATCAAGAATGGGGATACAGCAAGGGCCAAGATCTTTGTTGAGAGAGCATATGCGGCTAGAGTTTTGGTGGAAGGCGACGACAGTCCAGAGGCTGAGAAGGTGGCGGCGCTTGTCGAGCAACCTACACTGCACCCGCTTTATAAGCCGAGCGACGACGTGTCTGAGGTTGAGATTCCTCAGGGAGTGAGCGAGGCCGAGTTTGAAGACTGGCTTTGGCAACAACGCTTTCCTGTTAGTGAGGACGAGGACGAGGATGAGGACGGCCTTTGATGCACCAAATACTGGCTCAAGTGATGGTAGCAATGGTTTGGGGCATTAGAATGCAAAGCCCTAAAACAGGTAGAGATTGCAGACAATCATTCTAGGTGCTATTGTTACCTGATTGTGCAGATATTAGTTTACATACAGTTAATGTTGTCTTGCATTTGCCATTTCTCTTCATTGTTGAGCCAAAGTGACTGCTGACGCCGAGACAGAGCTCATGTTGAAGAAGACGGCTAGATTCGTGAGCACTGCTATTGGTGCGACCACGAAGATGCATCTGAATAGAAAATCTAGATAGATCGCAAAGGCCATAAAAGGAAGGCCAAGATGCTGGATTGGGATTACTTATCTGGAATGCAGTATATATGATTGTGGTTCAAGGTACATGCCTATGCATCCCACTTATATCCCGATATCAACCATCTGAATGCAACCTCTCCCACCCAAACCAGGATAAAGCCAGGGAGTCCAGCCGACCTGTGTCTCTATCTCTCCCTTGCTTTGCTGCTTGTTTGCTTGTTTGAGTAATTGACAGGGGGACCCAGGCTCGCCGGGATGCAACAGCTTCGGAGTACGGATATGGGCAAGGGATACGGGCAAGGGATATAGCGCCGCAAATAAGGAGCCTTGTTTGCACATCATGCAACCCCTTCTGCGAGGAATCAGGCTTTGCCAGCCCGTCCTTGTGCAAATCCAACGCATCACAGTTTGGCCTCGTTGTCCCTCCAGCCCTTCACCAATCACCGACAGACGCTGGATGGATTCTCCGAGATCCCAGGCTCGGTGTCACGATATCTTACCGCATTCGGGCCATCACGCGCACCGAGCGGAGCCCTGGCCGCTTCACGAAGCTCGTACGAGTGCCGTGTCTGGCTTGTGACGGATACAATGCATTTGACACCTGGCTCCAAGAAGTAGCATGTACCGAATACCTACCTACCTTCTTTACTGTACGGCCAGGCACCCTGATGTGGGATATGGGAAATGGAAATAGAGCTCTGGATATGCTACGGAGAAACTGGATATCAGACGCAGTAACATCGGGTGTCGGGATTATCTTTGCCTTGTTTGAGGCCACCCGTGAAGAATCTGCTCGATCTGACTCGTATGCATTACTTCATCCATGCACCGTATTTGGAGACGACGTTTGACGATGAGCAGCTCCGCCGCCACAGCCAGCAGGCTAAGCTAATAAGTATGTTTGTAGAATGTTTTAGTGTTTCGGTGAGGTGAGTGCTTCGGGTAAGCAGCAGTCCAGAGCTCAGACTTTTTCGTAATCGGCTCTTGTCAAGCCAGAGAACCGGCCACTCACATTGCTCACACCATAGGCTTATATGCTGCCATGGCGTCCGATGGAGCCGGCGTGGGAGCTGGACAATCATTAATCGTTAACCTTATCCGCCACAATGCAAGTTAGCATGCAAGGGAGGCAGCAGCAGGCAGTGCTGTAACTTGAGCAGGTATGCAGTATGTAATATTGACGGGCTAGACGCACAAGTCGTAGCGCGACCAAGTTGGAGGGATGGCGGGACGGGTGAATGATAGGGCGAGCGAGAGACAGGCCAGAGACAGACAAAGCTGGCGTGGCTCCTCTGCAGCCTGGCAATTCTGCTGGAGTGCCCGCGTTTCGCTGCTGGCCACTCACCTGTTTGCCTCGCCCGCACCGCCATCAGCGTCCAGGCATCCGCCGTCCACGAATTTGGCCACAATTGGCGAAGCAAGAAGCTTCGTGATGGGCTTTTGAGTTGCCTCCCAGGCGTCAGCTACTAGCAGTATAAGTGGTAGTCGGTTTCGAATGGAATGGCCGAGGATACCGCAGGCTTTGGGGCTGGCCGGAAGACGCACGGGTCACCACTGAAGGTGAGAGCAGCTTGCATGTACTGGCATGTACCCGGTACCGTCACCAGCCAGGCTTGGCCCTATTGATCGCCTCCCAGACTGCTCCAAGGAGGCAGATGCTGCTCGACAGCGAATCAGCGGGCGCTGCGTCCCGTGTTGTGGTGCTGAGCCTGAGACAGCTTCCAGTTCAAATCTTGTTCTGAGCGGCTTCAAGGCTTCTTGCTGCTGCTGCTGATGTACACGAGACTGTACACCGTACACGCCAACTTCTAACGCCTCAGATTTGCCTTTGGCCGCTTCCCGGGGGCGTCTTGCAGTCCTGCACTTGGCCGTCCTGGTGCCGGAAATACCTGGGGCTAATGGCGCCATTGGCCGCTCACGACCCACCCCCAGCGCTTTTGCTTGTGCTCCAGCCCAGCAGGCAGGGATTTGTTTCGTCACTTTGGCCAGCCAGGGGCGCAGACAGTGGACGAGGGTGCGTGGCGCACTGGCTGTTTCTGATGCCTCGCGCGCTGCCATCTTCTCCGCACCTGTCACCGCTAGCACTGTGGCGACCTGAAGCTTTAGCGCAGTGGAATGGCGATTCTCTTGGCCCCAGCCCTCCGCTGAGCATCGGCGCCATCAGCGCTGTGGTGCTGCGCTGCAGGCCAGCTGCGGGTACTGTACCGAGTACCGCTGCGGTACCTACACTGGGCTTGCAGCTACGCGTCCCTGCGCGTCCGTTCTGTTGGCCTCTACCGCTCGCTTTACTGGCTCCAGACTTGTCACCATCACTTCTCAGCGACGCCAGGTACTGGGTACCTTGTGCTGCAGCGCTGCCCGCCTCCCAGTACCCAGACGTTGCAGTGACTTTGCCCTGAGCCGGGCCTGCAGAGGTCCTCGGCAGCTCCACTAGCAGAAGATGCAGCGGTTGCCTCCCAGTCGGTGAGGCCAGAGCCGAGCTTGCCTGCCTGCGTCACAGCGCATCATGTACCGGCGGCAGCGCACGGGAGGGGACCGCCAGGTCACTGGTACAAGCGCCAGCAGCAGCAGCCCAGAACACCCAGAATGCACTGCACTGCGGCCTCTCCAGTTTCCGGCTCGCCTAACCCGGTCAGCCTGGCGCCTTTTGTAAGAGCTTCGCTCCCAACCACGCAATCGTCATCTCTCCTCTCTTTTTCCTCCTCTTCATCAACCTCTTCCCATCTCCATCACCACTGCAAAAAGGGTTGCATCGCCATTGCCTCGCTCCTTGATACTGCCATCTGTCCTTTTGTCGGTAGCCCGTATAAAAGAACAGCCTGCTCTGATAGCGTCGACTCAAGGGGGAAAGTTGTTATCGCGTGAGTAGCCCACCGCTTCGTCACCGTCCTCGCATTGTTAGTATTTGCATCCTGCTAACAAGACCATCATCACCACATAGACCGCCATCATGGCTTCTATCCCCCAGCCTGGTCCTGAGACCATGGTCACCCTCAAGGTGACTTTTGAGAACACCACTCGCCGAGTCAAGATGCCACTTCGTGAGATGACGCCTCACGTTCTTGAAAACAACGTATGTTTGACTATACTTTCATCTTTTCCATTATATCAGTCATCATTCTTTGGGTAAAATGGTGACGCCGCGTATCTCACATCTACCATGGTGGCTCCCAAGATGCCAGAGGTGCTGACATGACATCCAGATCCGAGCCTTCCTTCGCATCGCCCCCGAGGCCCGGATGATCGTTGAGCGCTACTCTGACTCCGCCAGTGCTTTTGTTGTCCTCGACTCGAGTAATATGCCAGTCTACAAGCAGTTGTTCAGGGCCGCAAAGGCCAAGTCAAAGCTGAAGCTGCGTGTTTCGGTTATCCAGCCACCACCAAGGGCTACACCAAGGCCCGTCACAGTGGAGGATGCGCCAGAGGCCTCAGCAGCAGAGACCTACGAGCCCACTGAGAAGATTACCCCCACCGAGAGCGACGTCTCTCAGTCAACATCAGATTCGGCCACTGAGATGCCGACGCCATCTACGGCTCCATCTTCGATTACCCTTCTCTCGGGTGTCGAACTGCCCCTGCGACCTGCGTCGCCTGTCCGGCCCGCACCGGTCGAGGCCACCAAGGTTGAGGAGACGACTGAGACTCCTGTCCCGGAGTCCCAGCCAGCAAACTTTGCTCAATCTGCTCCTTTTGATCCTCAAACAATCTACTCGTCGTTCCAAGAGTACTGTGACCCGGCCTCGGTCCTGGCTCCGGCTCCGGCCCCGGCCCCAGCCCCAGCCCCAGCCCCAGAGTCGTCTCTTATCATCACTCCCGCTCCGTTCGCTGTCTGCTGCAACCACTGCGAAAAGACAGTTGCGGATGTCCACTATCACTGCCAGACTTGTGATGATGGCGATTTCGATCTTTGCCAGGCCTGTGTTGATCAGGCAGTCAGCTGCTATGATGAGAACCACTGGCTGATTAAGCGGACTATGATTGACGGCCAGCTCGTCGCTAGCAGCACCGAGAAGATTGAGCCCAAGGCCCAGGCCAAGAAGCAGGAGGAGACCCCCGTTCAAGAGGAATCGCTCCCTACACCTGAGAGAGATGAGTATGCTGTCGAGACCACTCACATTGAGAATGCCCCAGTGCCATCAATTTGCATGCCAATTGTCGCTGAGCCTCTGAGGACTATCGATGTGGCTCCCGCATTCTCTCCAAGAGTTCCATTTGTTGATCCCATGGGCGCCAGATGGTCTTGCTTGGGCAACATGCGAACATGCAATTGCTGTGTTCAAGGTATGTGCACCCTCAACAAACTAAATGATCCCCTCAGAGCTCGTCAAGCTAATGAATCTCAGAACTCCCCGAGGCTGAGTTCCTCCACTGCACGACTTGCGAGGATTTCGACCTCTGCCAGGGATGTTTCGCCAAGGATGCCCACGGCCACCACCCCAAGCATGCCTTTACCCCTGCTGTTGCAGGTACCAACATGCCACACCACATTACCATCAAGATGGGAGCTGGCCGCAACCAGGCTCACCACGCTGTTTGTGATGGCTGTGACAAGTACATCACTGGCGTCCGCCACAAGTGCCTGGACTGCCCAGACTGGGATTACTGCTCTGAATGCGTTGTCAACGCTGCCTTTGTGCACGCCAACCACCGCTTTGCACCCATCTATGAGCCCCTCGCTGATGTTCATTCTTACGCTTGTGCTCAGCCTGTGCACATGGGCATCTGCTGCGATGGACCTCTCTGCTCCAGCAATCAGGACTATCCTACCTACATCAGAGGCGTTCGGTACAAGTGTGCTGTCTGCCATGACCTCGACTTCTGCGCAAACTGCGAGGCTAACCCTGCCAACGAGCACAACAAGACCCATCCCCTCATCAAGTTCAAGACGCCTGTTCGCCACGTTAGTGTTACTACTACCGGCGAGCACCAGGATGGCAAGCGCATGCCCCCTATGGGCGACCGCGCCAAGAACGCCGCCAAGTCTGCAGAGACTTTGGGCGAGAGCAACTCCATCAACGCCGTGCAAACCGTTGTGGACGTGAAGCCTGAAGCGCCCAAGGTTGAGGAAGCCAAGGTGAAGGAGGAGCCCGAACCTGAGATCAAGGAGGAGGTCAAGGAGGAGGTCAAGGAGGAGAAGGTCGCCGAGGTTGCAGCATCTGTCAATGAGCAAGACCTCCGTGCCGTCTTCCTCCGCGATTCCGTGTCCGATGGCACCATCATGCCTCCCAACCACGTCTTTGAGCAGACCTGGGTGCTTCGCAACGAGGGCACCACTACTTGGCCTGCTGGCTGCTCCGTCAAGTTTGTTGGCGGTGACTACATGGGCCATGTTGATTCCGCTCACCCCGCCGGTATCTCCGAGCTTGTTTCAGCATCAGAGTCAACTGTCTGCTATGCCCCTCTTGCCCCTGGCAACGAGTTCCCCTTCACCGTGCTTCTCCGCACTCCTGCTCGCGCTGGCCAGATCATCTCCTACTGGCGCTTGACTACTCCTGAAGGATTCAAGTTTGGTCACCGTCTCTGGTGTGACGTCAGTGTGCGAATGCCCCCGCCTGAGGCTCTGCCAACGACTACGGTTGAGGAGCCCAAGAAGGACGAGGACGCCCAGTCTGGCAGCGTCATGATCTTCCCCAAGCTTGACAAGGAGTCGCCTCACGCCAGCATCCACGAAGAGGTTCAAACTCGGCCTGTTGCTGGAGAGGAGAGAGCCACGGAGACTGAATCTCTGCCCGCCAGCGGAGGAGAGTATGAGTGGGACGGATCGGACGACGGCTTCATGACCGATGAAGAGTACGATATCTTGGACGCTTCTGATGAAGAGTACCTGGAGGATCGCGAGAAGAGATTGAGAAAGTAACGGAATGGCTTTTATGGACAGCAGCTTTTGAATCGGAATATGGGGAATTTGTTTTCTTTCTTCTTTGTCTTTGGCATGCGCTTCTTTGCTCTTCTTCCCTTGCCAAATGGGCCACAGTACTGTACTTCCGTTTATCCCCTGTTATGGGACCTTATTCCCGCTGGTTGTCATAATGCCCTGTGGCCCGAGCTCTCTACTCTTCAAGGCCCGGCACCAGACAACGCAGATAAGAAAATCTGGCACCACCCTCGTTTGATTTCATCTATTAATTGTAGGATTTGATTAGGGATAGGTCATGAATTTTTACCAATAGTATTGCTAACTATTTTGAGAACTATTCTATTCCGTCGCGTGTCAAAATGTCCTTTTTTTTTTCTTCATTCCATTTACACCACTGTAAATGAATCTTTCGTGATGTTCATGAGGCTCTCGTGCAATCCAGGCAGCAAAGGCGAAAACCAAGTAGCCCTCGGTAGGCGGTACCAAATGAGTACTTACGCGCCGTGCGTGCAGCTCCACAGCGTGATTGGCTGCATCGGCGACGAGCGAGGTTGCGTCAGGGCAAAAAACTGCGCGGGCAAGTGACGTTGTTGGCCAGGGCGTGCCCAGCCGGCTGCAGCGCAGAGGGTGTCCTGCCGTGGTAGCAGTGACCTCAGCCCCAGGCGTCACCGGATCACCTGCGTCGGCCACTTCCAGTAGCAGCCGGCGGCTTACCTAAGTGACAGTCGGGGACGGGAGCCGATTTTTTTTTTTTTTTTTCTTTCTTGCTAGGCCCTTTCCTTGTTCTCAGTTTTCGCCTCAGGCCGCATGCTATGCTTAACCTGTACTGGAGGGGCGCCGAAAAGCGGGTCGCGAGCGTGCCCCTTGTGCTGCCAGTAGACCAATATTTACCTGGCTTGAATCGCCCCTTGCCGCGCCGCCCGTCTCGTTTTTTCTTCTTCTCTGCGCAGGTGCCGCAACAAGCTGCGGGCCATCCTCTTCGACTTCCCTCCCGCCAAACCACCGTCCGCCGGTTGTCGTGTCAACTCTGTGGCAGCGACCTGGACGACTCTGCTGCGAGCGTTTGCATCTGATTCGGTGTTGCAATCGCGACGAGGTTTTTCACAGTCTTTTTTTTGCTTTGTCCTCGTTTGCTGTGAATCCCCGCAGTAGCTTGTGCTCGTCTGCGAGTGCTTGCCCTCTTGACGGCTTTTTTTTTTTTTCGCCCGCCGTCTTTTGCGGACCACGCTCTCTCTCTTTTCTGCACCCCTGTGGCCATTTTCATCCACCGACCCTTGACGCGACCCAGCACTATATCATCGTCGCGCCTCTTCTCTTGTCCTTGTTCTATTCTCACATCCCCTACTGCCACCTCCTGCCTCGTCGCCGCCATGGTTACTTTTGCCCTTCCCGGCGAGTACGACGCCGCGGATGCTGGAAGCAGCACTCCCATGTCACGTCCTCCTCTGCCCTTTGCGAAGCGCACCTACGTCGCGACGCCATATGCCCACAAGCGCCTGGGAACGCCGCACACAGCTCCGTCGCGCAAGCTGCTGATAAAGCGCGATGAAGTCTCATCGGGCGCCCTGAACCGAAACGGCGTCTCGTCTCGCAGCAACCTCTTCAAAGCCTCCGTCGCCGAGGACCTTCCGACGAGCTCCTTCTCGCCCAGCATCCCTCAGAGCACGATGAAGAAGGTCTTCGCCCCCGGCGCGACTCCCGAACCGAGTCGCGTGTATCGCGAGTCCACTGCTCGCCTGACGCCTCGCGGCCTGGCCGCCCACTCCTCAGACAAGGAGCTGTTCAACATGCGAATCTCGTCGCCACCCCCAGAGCTGACCGGCGAAGTCTTGGCAAACAGGGTGCCAAAGGACTGGAACGCCAAGGGATCCATCTATGCCGATCAGTTTTTGGCTCATCTCTGCCCTCCAGACCTCGACGACGAGCAGCGTCGCCAGTTCTTCTGCATTCTCGATCTCCGTCGACTGAAATATGCCGCCAACGAGATCTTTTCCAACAAGACTTGGAAGCTCAACATCATGAACTTTGCCAAGGAGTTTGAAAAGAGCCGAAGCATCATTCTGCTTCGATATGGACTGTACGAGTTCCAGAGCGTTAAGCCGTCCAAGGAAGTTCTCAAGAGATGGCGCCGAGAACATGGTCTGCCCGATCCCGAGGAAGAGGAGGAAGAGGAGCAGACCAACGGCACGCCGAGCAAGCCAATGTCCGTCAAGAAGCGCAAGGCTGATGATGACCTTTCAAAGGAGACGGCTGATGCGACTGAAAATGTGGCAACAGCGAGCAAGCGAAGGGCTACCGTCAGCGATGAAATAGACGAGCCTACTGCCGTCACTCCTGCTCCTAACAAGAACAAGAGAAAGACTGTCGCCAATGAAGCGTCGCCCGCCAAGCTGCAAAAGGCTACTCCATCTACCGCCAAGTCGCTCTTTGTGAAGATTGCCAGCAAGCCGGCTGCGACTCCCACATCTCCCCTTGCATCTCCCGCAGGTTCTCTGGCTGCGGCCTCTCCTGCCCCATCTCCCACTCCTTTCAAATCGGTTGACAAGAATGCCGCCAATGGTAAACTGTCTCGCTCGGTATTCAACAACTCTTTGAAGCCCCCAGTCAACGGCAATGGCAACATCTTTGGCTATCTGTCCGATGCTAGCTCCGCAAAGAATAGCGGCGTTGAAGCCGATGCTGAGAGTGAATCTGAGTCTGATGAAGATGAAGATATCGAAGACAGCCAAGAGGGCGGGCAGAGTGATGAGCCTAGCGGCGCAGCTAGCGGTGCAGGCGACGTTTCCTCTCAGGCTGGATCTAATCTATTTGGAACCAAACCATCAACCGGCTTTGGCACTGGTGTATCCAGCGCTGCTGGTACACGGGATAGCACTCCAGGCCGCAGCCTCTTTGACCGTATCACCAAGGATCAAGATGGGCAACCAGTGCGAGCCGATGATGAGTCTGCCGACGAAGTCGCCATCAAGAAACCAGCATCATCCATCAACCAGACCTGGAATCCCACGACCCAACCCCTCAAATTTGCCCCTACCTCAGCCGCCACCCAGAATGGTTCACTTTTTGGTAAAGCAACCTCAACCTCCACCTCCACCTCCATTTTCGCGCCCAAGAGCACTGCACCATCCAACATTTTTGGAGTTTCCAAGCAAGATCAGAGCTCCAAAGCAAACACGCCTATTTCGGAAGCCGACCTGGCTGGCGGAGAGTCTGATAAGGAAAATGACTCTCAACCTACCAAGAAGGTCTTCTCTGAACCCAAGGTGTCTGCCATCCCAAGCACCGGCGCGTCGCTCTTTGGTCTCAAGCCCGCCGCGGCCGAGCCCGTCAAAGTGAGCGAGCCTGTCAAGCCTGCAACTACCGCCACCACCACCAACTTGTTTGGCGCCATCGGAAATTCTGATGCAGCCTCGAAGCTGTTTGGCGATGTCAAGACTTCAATGCCTTCGGCGTCTACAGCTGCTCTGTTTGCTCCCAAGAAGGAGTCCGAGAAGCCCCAGGGCAATGGACTCTTTGGCAACTCGGATGCCGCAAACGCAAACCCGTTGACTGGCGCGTCTGCAGCTCTCTTTGGCATCAAGCCAGCGACGCCGGCCGCAGCACCATCTTCTGCACCCCTATCCGCCCCTTCTCCTGCCCCTACTACCAATCTATTTGGCACTGCACCAGCAGCACCACCCGCAACAACCACTCCAGTTACCTCGACTAACTTGTTTGGTGCCGCAGCCCCTGCACCTACATCCACGTCCACATCTCTGTTTGGAGCCAGCACCCCTGCCTTCAGTTCTGAGCCCGCCAAACCGAAGCCTGCCTTGTCCTCGTCCACCAGCTTGTTTGGCACCGCTGCTCCCGCGGCTGCGCCAACCAGCTTGTTCGGTGCCCCGAGCGCCGTGCCCGCTAAGAAGGATCCTTCTCCTCCGGCTGCCAGCCAGCCCGCCGCTGCACCTCTGTTTTCCTTTGGATCAGCGGCCGGTACAGGCCCCAAGCCCACTGAGACCTCCCAGCAAGCTGCCAAATCTCTGTTTGGAGCGGCTCCAAAGTCACCTCCCGCTTCATTCTCGACCAACAGCTTGTTTGGCGGAAGCCCCATGAAGCAGGACGATGCATCACCAGCAAAGAAGCAGTTTACCGGTCTTGGCACTGATACTTCAGCGCCACCTCCCGTTTTCAACTTCGGCACAGCAGGCGGCGCAAGCTCAAGCTCAAGCTCCAACTTGTTTGGTAGCTCGATGAACTCTGCTCCTGCTCCCGCTGCGGCCCCTCTCTTTGGTGCCGCCCCATCCAACACTGGATCTGGATCCGGATCTGGAGATGGCAGCGGTGGTGGTTTCAACTTCAACTTTGGATCGGGAGGAGCAGGACCTTCAAGTGGATTCAGCAATCCTTTCTCAGGTGGCAACGCCAGCGGAAACCCGACCCAGGCCCCGACCGCGGCTCCTGGAGGCATGTTCGCCTTTGGCTCATCCACCCCGGCGGGAGGTTCTGGAGGCTCCGGAATGTTCCAGTTTGGTAACGGCGCCGGAAGTCAGCCCTCGCAGCCATCAGTGCCTCTGTTCAATGGCGCGGCCTCGAACACGAGCGTGCCATCTTTTACTGCGACGGCTCCTTCTGGTCAGTCATCATCCATGTTTGCCTTTGGAGCAAGCCAGCCTTCCTCCGGATTCAACCTCGCACCGCCAGCTGGTGGCTCCTCGACCACCGGGACAAGTAAGTCTCCTTTTCCGCACCGGAAAATCGCGCCGCTAAAGCGACGGGTCTAGACTCTCCATTCAACCTTGGGGGAGGCTCTAGCCTGGCAACCACACCTGCCGGCGGGACTCCGGAACCATCGACCCAAGTGAAGACGAACAGCAGTGCTGCTGATAATAATGACGAAGAGGGCGAGAAGCATGAGCAGATTAGCTTGACAGAAGGCGCAGACAAGGACGAGGAAGTTTTGCACGAAGTCCGCGCAAAAGTACTCAAGTTTGTTCCCGCTGGTGAAGCATCAGATGCCGAAGAGAAGAAGTCGAAAAGCCCATGGGCTACTCAGGGAGTGGGGGCTCTACGCCTGTTGAAGCACAAAGAAACTAATGCGGTGCGCCTGCTTCTGCGCGCGGAACCTAGGGGCAATGTTGCCATGAACCGGTCTGTACTGCCTGATCTATCATACAAGGCAGATGAAAAGTATGTGAAAATGACTACGTCGAATGACAAGGGTGACGGCCTCGAGACCTGGATGATCCAGGTGAAAACGAAGGATTTGGCCAAGTCATTGGCCGAGGCGTTGGAGACACACAAGGCGTTGAACAAGAAATAATATGGGAATAACAAGTGCATTTTTCTACGGCTGGTTGTTGTTCACTAGGAAATGGGAGATGGGAAGTTTGGTGGCTGTCCTTTTTTTTTTTTTTTTCATCATTAGCATTGCGGGCGTTAGAAGGCTTGAAACTCAGGCAGGGGTTTGCCTCGCCTGTTTTTTCCTGGCTGAGGTTTGGTGAAAGAATGAAACTCTATATATCCCAAGGATTAGCCATGCCCTTTTGATTTTGACGATTTATTGTATTCCCACAAGATTATGAAAGTGTAATAACTGGTGTTTTTGTACCTTTAGGGGCGCACTGCTAGCTGGGTTGAGGAATGGATTATCCTAGATTCAAGAAACAAAAGTCCAGCGTTTGTACAGTAAAGAAGTATCCTTGAAGTTGAATTCTTCATGTGCCTTTGTCTATGTGCTATTTGCTGTGAAGTCTGTCTTGTTTGAAAGTCTTGTATGACTTTTCAAATTGCAAATAGGCAGAACATTGAAACTGCATGGTTCCATGGGACAATTTAGCAGCTGCAAGTCGGTCTGGCAGTCTCGTGGGGGCGGGGAGCTCGCTATCGATAGCGGTACTTGGGTAGCTAAAGTTGCGCGTGGCGCGTCTGCGCTCGCTATAGTTCCGCAACTAAACCTCTAAAACACCAACAACAGCTCTTGCTTGAGAGAGCTTGCAGATCAAACGCCAGCAGCTATGCCACGGTATGAGCTCCATTGCCGAGAAGAGGATATCTTGACCGGTAGAGGCTGATGTGAACCCCGTCTTTAACAATATTTTAGCGAGATTATTACCGTTCAAGCTGGGCAGTGCGGCAACAGCAGTGAGTGCCGGCCTTGCGCTTCCGATATTCCCTTCTTTTTTCTTGTTTTGTTTTGCTTTGTTTACGCGCGGCATTCTTACTTTTTGCTAACAATTTGGATCCTTAGTTGGCAGTCAGTTCTGGCAGCAGCTATGTCAGGAACACGGAATTAGCCAGGACGGCAACTTGGAGGACTTTGCGACGGAGGGCGGCGACCGCAAGGATGTGTTTTACTACCAGAGCGACGATACGCGATATATCCCCCGAGCGATCCTGATTGATCTAGAGCCCCGAGTATGTCGTCCTTTTTTTTTCTCTCTCTTGTTTAATATGTGTTTCCTGCTGCGAGGTCAAATACTGGCGGCAGGAAGGAGACGACAAAAAAAATAGGGAAAATATCAGAGAGTGGCTAACATTACGGTCTTGTTCCTCGGCAATTAGGTGTTGAACAGCATTCAGACGGGTCCGTACCGAAACATTTACAACCCGGAGAATTTCTACGTGGGCAAGAATGGAATGGGAGCGGCAAATAACTGGGGTGATGGATATCAGAGCGGTGAGGCGGTTTATGAAGATATTATGGAGATGATTGACCGAGAGGCGGACGGTAGTGACTCGCTCGAGGTAAGCGAGCATATTTCGCTTTTTTAGCAGGGTGTGTATGTGCTAACGAAATGAGTTTAGGGATTCATGATGTTGCATTCTATCGCTGGTGGTACAGGATCGGGTCTGGGATCGTTCCTCCTAGAGCGGCTCAACGACCGGTTCCCGAAGAAAATCATACAGACTTATTCCGTCTTTCCCAACACAACAAACGCGCCGGATGTGGTTGTTCATCCTTATAATAGCGTTCTTTCAATGAGGAGATTGGTGCAGAACGCAGACTCTGTTGTCGTTTTGGATAATGGTGCTTTGTCGCACATTGCCGCAGATAGGCTGCATGTGCAGGAGCCTTCATTTCAACAAACAAATCAACTGGTAAGCTGGGGGAAATATATGTTTGTTTTGAATGGGCTTGCCGTACAAGGCTAACCAACTTGATTGTTTAATCACAGGTCGCAACTGTCATGTCTGCGAGTACCACAACTCTACGCTATCCGGGATACATGCACAATGATCTTGTTAGCATTCTGGCCTCGCTGATACCTACACCGCGATGCCACTTCCTCATGACGGCCTACACGCCATTCACCGGTGACCAGGTTGAGCAGGCCAAGACAGTCCGTAAGACGACGGTGCTGGACGTGATGAGGAGACTGCTGCAGCCAAAGAACCGCATGGTGTCGACGGTACCGGGCAAGAAGAGTTGTTACATTTCCATTCTGAACGTGATTCAGGGCGAGGTGGATCCGACGGATGTGCATAAGAGTCTGCTGCGTATCCGAGAACGAAAGCTGGCCACGTTTATTCCCTGGGGCCCTGCCAGTATTCAGGTGGCGCTGACGAAAAGGAGTCCGTATATGCCAATGAGCCATCGCGTGAGCGGGCTAATGTTGGCGAATCACACAAGCATTGCTACGGTTCGTACATCCAGATATCCATCTCATTTCATTTCCCCTTGTTTGATGAGAGATTTCGCTTATTGACTGGCACACGTTGGAACAGCTCTTCAAAAGGATATTAAAACAATATGACGGCATGCGGAAGCGCAATGCCTTTATCGAGGGTTACAAGAAGACGGCGCCCTTTTCCGAAAACTTGGACGAGTTTGACGAAGCGAGGCAAGTAGTATCTGACTTGGTTGCAGACTACGAGGCAGCAGAGGATGCGGACTACCTGAATCCCGACAGCGGAGAGAAGCCCACCTCTGCCGATACGGATAGGCGAATGGCAGGAGTGTAAAAGAGGTGGAGGTGAGCATTTTTGTTGATTTCGCTATTTTATTTTATTTTGTGTCAGGACCTACTCAAAGACTGGATGCCCTGGCTTGGAATGGCCGGTTCCAATTGGACTGATGACGAAAGACATGGAGCGGCTGGCGTTTCGGACAGGGAGTTGACGCTGATATCTATCATTGTTTGCTTTGCTTTTTTTTTTTTTCTAAACAAGTAGTTGCTATTCCATCACGACAAATTTAAGAATTTTTGACGCTCATCTGAGGGTCCCGGCGGGCAGTGTGATGCAATTGGCGCCAGGATTCCAGCCATTGAATGGATTCTTACCCACCTATTTTACTCTTTATAGACGTGTATAACATCACAGATTGTAGGTTTGAGATTGAGATGGCAATATTCGCTGATCTAGAGTGGGCAATCGGCTGATTTTGTGGAGAAATATGTCCGGAGCATTTTCAGCGGGTAGCGGGAGGGTCGCGAGTAATGCTGATGGTTGAGAGCATGGCGACGTCATTGAGGCGAGGATGGTAAGGATATTCGCGATGAAAAAAAGTATATAAGACGAATTGATGATGAATGAAAGGATGCAAAGAATCAGAAGACTATTACGACTAAATCAATTGAATTGCATATACACGGGAAGAACACACTACAATACCGTAAGTTGCAGCGCCATCATATCACTTGGCACTGCTCATTGCTCACATTGCAGTCTCAGAAACAGCATACTACTACGACCTACTTGTCAATTCACCATCACACACACACAAACAATGTCTTCATCTCAGAACCAGTCCAAGGAGCAAAAGATTGCCGAAGTCCAGGCCAACCTGCCCCTGCCCGAACAGCCCCCCAAGGCATCCGACTTCAACTCTGCAGACATGCGCACCACGGGCGTGGGATCCGGGCGCATCAGCGGCAACGCGGGCTCAGATGCGGGAGCCGAGGCGGGGCTGAGGGGCCCGGCGGTGAAGGCGAGCGAGGAGGTTGATATGAGTAAGATTGGAAGGGAGGGGCTGGAGAAATGATTTTGTTGATTCTAATGTATTTACATGATGTATAAATTGGCAATTAATGGGTTATGATATTGAACGTTGCAGCACGTGTTGGTGAACTAAAATTACAGGTGTGAAACGCAGCCTTGCCGTATAGGAGGGGTTCTTGTAGCGGGGTGAAGGCACCCTGATGGCAATGCGCTGCCTCTCATTGGCCGCCTTACAGCTCTGTCTCCTCTGAATTTTTTAAATTCTGCCCAACCATCGCCAACGCCTCTCTCTCCTCAATTCAACCTGTCCTTTGATACTTTTCATATAAAAAGACGGTCTTCTAGTTTATGTTCCGTCGCATTCTGACCAAAATGGCCGAATCAGCCCCCAAGCGCCTCAAGACCGACAGCACCAGCGGCAGCGTCCTCGTCGGCACGCACAGCGGCCACTTCCACGCCGACGAGGCCCTCGCCGTGCACATGCTGCGCATGCTGCCCACGTACCGCGACAGCAGCCTGGTGCGCACGCGCGACCCCAAGATTCTCGAGACGTGCCACACCGTCGTCGACGTCGGCGGCGAGTACGACGCCCAGCGCAACCGCTACGACCACCACCAGCGCGGCTTCACGACCACTTTCCCGGGCAAGAACACGAAGCTGTCCAGCGCGGGGCTGGTCTACATGCACTTTGGCCGCGACCTGATTGCCCAGAGCATCCAGCAGGCGTCGTCCAAGGCCAATGCCGATGCCGATGCTGCTGTTGATAGCAGCTCAGACGTCGAGCTGCTGTACAACAAGATTTACGAAAACTTCATCGAGGCCGTGGATGCCCACGACAACGGCATCTCGCGCTACGACCGCGACGCCCTCCAGGCCGCCGGCATCGAGCAGCGCTTCAGCTCCGGCGGCTTCACCCTCGGCGCCATGGTCGGCCGCCTCAACCCCGCGTGGAACGATCCCAAGCCCGCCGACGCCGACGAGGCCCAGCAGGCCGAGGACCAGCTCTTCCTGACGGCCAGCCGCCGCATCGGCGAGGAGTTTGAGCGCACCCTCGACTTCATGACGGGCGCCTGGCTGCCCGCCCGCACCATTGTCCAGCAGGCCTTTGACCAGCGCACCAAGCACGACGCAGAGGGCCGCATCCTCGTCATCGAGGGCCAGAGCGTGCCCTGGAAGGAGCACCTGTACACGCTCGAGGGCGAGGGCAACCCGTCCGTGCTGTACGTGCTGTACGCCGAGGGCACGCAGCCCGGCGCAAAGTGGAGGATCCAGTGCGTGCCTGAGACGCAGGACTCGTTTACCAGCAGGAAGCCATTGCCCGAGGCGTGGAGGGGGTTCCGCGACGCGGAGCTGGATGGCGTTTCTGGCGTTGACGGCTGTGTCTTTGTTCATGCGGCCGGCTTTATTGGTGGGAACAAGACGTTTGAGGGTGCCATGGAGATGGCCACCAAGGCATTGGCATTGTAATATAAAAGTGAAGAGAGATTTTTGGAGGAAATTTTATAATGACTGTTAATGACCACCAGCATAAAGGAAATCATGTCTAAAGAGAGAAAAGAAAGAATTGAATAAAAAAAAATGAATAAAATTTGAAATTACGTCTGATTTTGTTATTCTGGCATGCTAAACATACCCAGAAAATATATCTGCCCAACCGTAGCAGAGCATGCAGACTCTTTCTTCCATTTTGCCCTGCCAGACCGACACCCCAGTAAGCATACACAGCATACATACATACACGGAAATAAAATGACCAAAAACAGCAAAAAAGGTCAATTCATCGAAACACAGCATCGTATAAAAGGCAGCGGTAACGGCAACGGCAACGGTGGCAATAAATTGAAATCCCCATTTCTCATCATCAGACAAGGTACATACGCAAAGCAATGCAGATACATGAACAAGCAAGACAGATTTTCAACTCGAAGCATGTAAAAATACAGAGGAAAAAGAAAGAGGCAAAGTCCATGTCGTCGTTTTTTTTAGTTTAAAATAGTTGTTCTTTTTTTGGTTTTGCCTTTTTTTTTTTCTGCGCAAACAAAAAAAGTTCATAGCGCCTGAAGCAAAAAGAAAGCAAAGGGGAAAAAAAGAAAATTCTGTCAAGTTTGAACAATTTCCCTTGCATCCTCCTCCCCATTCCCCGATTTAAAACGCCAGCGTGTCATATAATAACAACAATAAAGAAAAAGCAAACAGAAAAGGGGGGAGGAGCAAGGCACATAAACTATAGGCTCGTCATAAAACAACAAGATTTTCATCCATCTTCAAAATCAACCTGTCGTGTCAATCTTCACATCTCTCCTTGCCCTTTTCCTCATTCTCGTAACCATCATCTTTTGTAACTAGATAGAGTGGGATGCGAGAGACCGGGGTGATGATGGTAGACAATATCACCATTCATGCTTATTTTGTTCGATATGGCAGCTATTCCTCCGCGTCTCATGTCATGCCTCATATCGCACTCCTTGAATCAGAAATGGCTGGGAAAAAAAAAGTGATGAGATGGTACCATTCGTAGTATCCTCGTGGTCCGATACCACAGCATGTAATTTTCACACGTAAGCGGGATATAAATTGAGATTCCTAGTCATGCTTGTAAAGGGTCTATTGTCGGAGCGGCATGGCCTCGCCAGCAGCAATCGGTGTTCCGGCAAGTCCAGCGGCAACAGGCTTGGCCTCTTCCTCGTCCTGTTTCTTGTCGTCGCCGCTCAGCGTCACCTGGCCCTCGGCTGATGTCTCTCTGTTCAGGAAGCTGCCCTCTTTGATAGGACTGCCGGCTTGGATGCCGGGAACAGATCCGCGGTGGGCGTGGCCCGGAGCGCTGGTGCCGCCGTTGGTAGGAGATGTCAAGTGTGGGATGTTTTCGGGGACGGGGTGCTGCGAGCCAACGGCACCGGCGTCGTCGCCCTTGCCGGCCTTGGACATGGCATAGTCGCCCGAGTCGAAGTATTTGCGGTCTTTCAGGTGCTTGGCGAAGTGGTCGGATCGTGAGGGAAGCTTGCCGTAGAGGCGGAAGAGCCGTTGCTCATCCGGGGAGAGCGACTGGAGCAGGAGCACAGGCAGCAAGTTAGCAAATGCAAATCACGGCCATTGGAGTTTTCCGCAGGTGGTTTCTTGTCGTCCAAATCCTCTGGCAGAAGAAAAGGCGGCAACTGGATGAAGCAGCTCCAGCACTTGTTTCCGTCCTTTTCGGTCACTGCACTTTTACCCCAATGCAGACCGTCGGCGAGAGGAGGGGTAACAAGAAAAACGTGTGGACAGGGGGCATCTCACGTTGATGTCGACCTTGTTCTTCTGGTGAGGGTTCATGGTCTCTTGAGATGCAAAAAGCAGGGAATTCGGATCGATCGCTGTGTCCTTTGGACGGCTCGTCGCACAGAAAAAAAAGAGGCTATCGGGTTGTAGGTCCTCAAAACAGGCGACGACTCAGTTGTGTGGGCTTGTGGTGCGTGTGCCAGGCACAGCTGAATTGGCTCTTGGTGACGGGCGTGCGGGGGTTGCAATGGGGTTCTCAAAGTAGCCCTGGAGAGCTTCCTTATTGTCGAGGACGAGGGAAAGAAGAGGAAGTAAATGACGACCCAGAGGGCAGAAAAGAGAGAATGAAGTGTCGTTGATTTAGAGGCACCGAATAGAAAAGTCGAACACAGCAAAGTAAAAATAAATCGAAAAAAAAATAGTCGGTCCCTGAGTCTTGTTCTGACCCAGCAAGGTTACTGGATCTGGGCGCAGGGGATGGGAGGGGACAGCGAGCAGGTGATCCAGTTGATGGAGGTCACTCAAGCGGCCACTGGTTGGTTCGGCAGTGGCCTGGAGCAGCTGCGGTGGAGGCGCTGCAGCTGTAGCTTGGAATGCGTTGCTTATGTTGCTGCTGCTGCTGCCGCCAAGTCTGATACTGTCACTGCAATTCTTGATATTTCGCTTTCATCACATTGTACCTCGCTCCCCTTTCCTGAGATGTTTCGTATACACTTGATAAATTCCTGCTTTTTCTTCAACCTTGCAGCTGTGCATCTAGTCCAAAGTACCTCAGCAGCCTGCGGGTATGGCCAAGCTAGCTGCTTAGTACCTGGAGATGACTGCCCAACAGTGGATTCTAGCTTCGGCCAAGACGGTATCTGCATTGATAGGGCATCCATCTGCCAGGAGATTAAATACCTCGGTTTGCAGATGAATAAGTGCATAGTAAAAACAGGCAGCACGCAGTTGCCGTTTGGGGACTCTTCTTGGTAAAAGCCACAGCAGCGGTAACGCACTGTGCCATTCGTGTCCCAGCTCTTTGCTCCTCCATGATCAAGCTCTTCCTCGTACAGTGCAAAGCATGATGCACATCAAGGTACGTATCGCTCCGCTGTGTCGTCACCAACAGTCTCTCGCTCTTCACTCTGAAACGGATGGGGCCACAAGGAGGTCATTCGTTCCCACAAGGGTCCTACAGCAGCTTCTCATTGTTAAACAGCCTGCAGTGACTGCCACTTTGTAGATACTTACCCATCTATCTCGACCTCTTTGCTCCTGCTTTCACTCATCATCGCCGTCTACGGCAAAGCACTCGTGACACAATGTCGGATTATGACGTAATCGCCCATGCCCTCCACCTTGGCCAACCATGACGTCGTGCCCCAATCCAGCTTCAACGGCCAGAGCGTGTATAACAAACGACGGATGGTGGGAGTCACAGAATGTAGTGGTAGCTGCACACTCACACTGACTGCTCAGATCAATACAGCAACGCATCTTTGCTCCCCTTTCTCCTACCATCTTGGTTTGGCCAGCTCTGCTCATCATCTAGGCCTGAAGAGGGCAAAAGCTCAAGTGCTTCCCCACATCAATCCGCGGTTGACGGCCAAAGGCTCACGCAAAAGCTTGATCGCCGAGCCAGTCACAGCCATCTCGAGGCGCGAATCCCGCCATGGACAGCCAGTCAAGTTGCCCGGATCTGAGGAACCCCTCCATCTTGGTCGTGCGTGTGCAAACATGGGCGGACCAAAGTCAATTCGAACGGCAGAAGGCATCCCCTTCCTATCATCTGCGGACATGGAACCGACAACCTGCTGCCTTTGGTCTTGACCATTCATTGGATTGATTCGAGGCCCCGGCTCTTACAGGTACAGTCGTTGAAAGCGGCTCGCACATGGCGGATAGAGTTTCATACTTGCCTTTGGCCTAGATTGCCACAGAGATAGTCGCATTCCTCGTGGGATAGTTGACGTCTGGTTGGTTCTGCTGGGCTCGGGGCCAATCAGAGGTGGCATCAGCATCGTTACACAGCCGGTAGTTGGTTATGCATGCAACCCCTTGTGCGTATTGTACGACTTTGCTATGCCTCTCCCATGCAGCGAGTGATACAAATCTTCAGCGTTGCTTACCAACTCTCTTTTGGTCTGCAAACTCCGATGCGGAGAAACGACTGTGCTTTGAAAGCCAGTCTCCGCTTCGTCAGCTTTTCCGCGAAGGATGCGAGGCATGGGCATGGCATGCACGTTGGGGCATAAATACATGTATGCAGGCGGCGGGGCAGGTGAAGCGCGGTGTATTCGGTGAAGGAAGCATGGACCAGACGGATACCGGTATAACTAATAATCGTAACAACGATTGGCAAACAGAGACATCTTGGAACAAGATTGCAGGGCATCAGTAGTAGCATCTCTGCCCTGGTATGCTCTGGGTTATGCATTTCTTGATGGCGGTCGTCAACCGAAGTGATGACATCTCTTGCCGAGGTCTAGCGCGTTCTGTAAGAGAGGCACTGAGCTGCAACAGCACAATACCCCCGGATTAATAGATTATTCTATTACTCTTCACCTCGGAGATGTGCTGCGCGAATGTACGAAATGCCTATTTAGTATTCTGCAGGCTGGTTGCCCTGGAGGCAGCATATTGGTACATTATACTCCATGACGCCATGCATCCGTTGCATGTTGCCATTGCCAGCTGACCTGACAATGGGGGTTTTTGGTCTCAAAGAGTGAACCATTGTTTTTCAGCCAAGGCATCCTGTCCTTCTCCTAGGACTAATATGTAACTAATAGGCCCAACTAATACCTAGATTAGGACTGTTCAGATGCCCTGGTTGGCAACACCCAAAAGGAAAACACTGGAGCCGTGGACTAGCCCGGCGGATAACAGAGGAGAAAGACGCCCATTGCAGAGTCAGTAACACGCTCAAGTCAGTCCACGATGCCGCGTTTATAGGCATCCAGGCTTAATTGATTACCCGCACAAGGCCACTAGGAAGCATCTTGCATGCGGACTCCGCCCTTTTCTGTCTTGTCCGGCTTCAGAGCTGCGTTTGTGCCCCCGACAGGCCGAGTGCGAGGAAGCGATGTTCCAGCTCGGCTTGGATTTCTAAGCTTTCACAAATCCTGGGCCCCTCGAATCCCGCCCTGGATCCACCACGACCTTGCTGTTACGTTTCTAGCTGGGCAAAGCGGAGAGAAAAGGGATTTTATCTCTAGATATCATTAATTCCTTTTTTTACTGCTTTTTTATGGCCTTCATGTCTTTTTTAGGGCGCTAGAGTGCCTCCACCCGCCTCAACGGCTTCAGCTTGTAGATCTACGAGGCAGACAAGGAGACGGAGACAGAGTGAAGAAAAGGGTTCATAGAAGGTGGCACGGGATTGGACAAGCAAACAGCTGCATGGATGCTGCATCCCATTTAATTTCGCATCATGTCATGTAGTCCATCTTGCATACAATCCATTGGACTATGCCTCGACACTTGGTTTTTTCTTACTCGATTCTGACCCCCCGTCCCGGTGGCGCGCCTTCTTCCCGGAGTGGGGGTCTTCGGATTTGATAAGTGCTGAGATTTTTTTTTTCTTCACTTTCTTTCTACATAGATAGCGCATCTCGTCCGTCTCCACGGCATCGCATCGCCATCTCAAACGGACAGTCACCGCGGCCGGAGAGACTCGTCTGCTCTCACCAGGGCCAGGGCTTGTCTTCAGCTGCCGACCGGATTCCCGATCCCCAGGGATAGTGTCTGCTTAATAATAGTTCGTCCGGCATTGGGGCTACACGAAAAGCAAGGCTAATCCAGCTTGTCGGACTTTTAAGGCTTGTTTTGTGCCTGCGGACCCATCCGAGGAGAAGGAAAAATCGGCTCTCTCGTCTATTTCTCATTCTTCATATCCTTTTATCAGAGTCTTTGTCATCAGGATCATCGCGACTCATTACTACTGCCGTCAACGACATACTTCTTCCTCATTGAATTGCTCTTTGGAGCATCTTGCCTTTAGATCTCCCATCATCATCTCACTCAGTCGCTTGCGCCATGGGCCTCTTGTACGTCACACCGAAGCATGTCTGGAGAGTACAAATTGGCTAACCAAATGGATTTATGAGCAAACAGAGCACTGGGAACGGCATTGGAGTGGCCAGAGGCCAAGCTACGCGCTAACCAAGTCAGAGAATGGGGCATCAAGGTGTGTTGCCATTGCCTTGTTCTATCTGGTCGGGCTGAGCGGACGCTGACATGGTGATAGCAACTTTTGGAGATTTGGAATAAAGCCAAGGGCAAGGAACGGGATGCTCTGCTATGGGGCGATGAGGTAGATCTCACTCACGCCAGCTTACATGGCAGCTTGCTCTCATCTCAACTTACTAACAATGCTTTAGGTCGAGTATCTTGTTGTGACTTACGCAGAGGATGAGCCCAAGGTGCTCCTATCTCTTCGACAGGCTGAAATCCTCACAGCCCTTGCAGCTGATAAGGAGCTTGCTGAAGCCGGCTGTGTACCTGCGCTTCAAGACGAGAAGCCGCCTGGGAAGCCAAGGTAAGCCATCAGCCTCACTCAACTTCCGAGCAGCCATCTGATTAGCTATTGCAGCAAATCCTCCAAGACGTTGCCCGTCTTTCATCCAGAGTTTGGCCGCTTCATGTTGGAGGCCACACCTGGAAAGCCATGGGGCATTGGATTGAAGGAGCTTTTGGGTGTTGAGCCTGACATGAAGCTCCGCCGAAAGATTGCCAAGGAGCACATGTTACCCACCGAGTTCCCCATTACACTCACTACTTTTCCCCAGATTGGTGTTCCGGGCCAATTCACTTACCCATTTTACCCTCCCTCCGGACCCAAGCTGCGCTCACAGTTTGTACCGGACGAAATCGCCAACCCTCACATCCGTTTCCCTACCTTGGCGGCTAATATCCGTTCTCGGAGGACTCGCAAGGTACAAGTCAATGTGCCCATCTTCCACGACAAGAATACCCCCAACCCCTGGAAGGACCCTACCGTCAACTTCGACTTACACAACTGGCCCGAGGACGATGACGTGCGCAACGGAGCCGCCCCAGACAACTTTATTCACATGGATGCAATGGCTTTTGGAATGGGAAGCTGCTGTCTTCAAATTACTTTCCAGGCTAAGAATATTGTCGAAGGCAGAGAGCTGTACGATCAGCTGAGCCCATTGGGCCCCATCATGTTGGCGTTGACTGCAGCAACTCCCATCTACAAGGGCTTCTTGGCTGGCACCGATGTGCGGTGGAATCAAATTAGTCGCTCAGTCGACTGCAGGACGCCAGAGGAGCTTGGTGAAAAGGTGAAGATTTTTTCTTTTCCCAGGAACTTTTATATTTTTCCCCCAGCAGCAAATCTGGAAGCCAAAGCTAACATGCGTCTGTAGCCCCTCAAAAATGACCGTTG